ATGCTATACGAATTCCATGAAAGGATAATGATATAAACCAATGACGTCAAAACGTTATGTACTTTTTTTCTACTCACATACCTAAAATGGCATTTAGCGTACAGATATGTACCACGCTAAATGATCGATTAATCACGGATTGTCAATCTGTGATTTATTCAAAATATTAAACACGTCACCATGGCAACACGATTTCTTAAACACATTGCCATGGTAACGCAGTTCATTAAACACAGCTTCAGTAATTTGAGACATGTCTGGCCTGTCGATTGTAATAACTGTCAACTGTTATTTTCGAATGTTGTATCAGAATTATTCAAACAATATTCGTTTGTATCACAATTCTTCATTAAAAAAATATGCGAAAAGTAGACGAAAGTGAAATCGAAGAGAATGTTCTGGTACTTGCATATCTCCAAGAAGTGTAAAAATGAAGCATCCATCTTTGAGAACAATTTATTTATTCTGCGCTAAGCATGACAATAAACGTGAAACAATGGTTAGTAAAGCAATAGACTAGACACATCTACAACCAATATCACTTATACGTGTCTCGCTGGTTGCATGCAGTTGCATGTATTATATGTTCTCAATTCCCATTCCTTTCGAATTATTTTGTAGGTTAGCAGAAATTGCAGGTACGTTAATGTAATTTTCGGAGTTCGTAGAAAAATCATAGTATGTAACGCGTTTATAAACTCTTCTCGACACCCGCTCTGCCCCGCTCTGCTCCGCTCGTGCTTAAACTACTCGTTACTAAAAGGACGTTTATGACACTTGTTACATAATATACTATTATTAAACAGAAAAGTAACCTATTTCTAAAAAATAGAAATAATTTTGTATTCAAAATATAATTGAAATTCCAAATTGAATAAAAATATAAACATAACATAATAAAGCAATAATGTATTTCCACTTCATTCACTCCACAAGTGAGCTGGGGCAGAAGGGACGGGTGGGGCAGCGAGCACATACTGGGCTGCGCGTACTGGAGCAAGCATGTGCAAGTGGGGCAGAGTATACTTTCTGTACTGGGGCAGAGTATACATTCTGTACTGGGGCAGAGTATAGATTCTCTACTGGGCGGGAGTGTGCAGCTGGAGCTGGGTAGACTAAAGTTTCATGCTTCTCCACGCCTGTGTTGAACATGTCGTGGTTATCAACGGAATAGTGGACAGTACGAAGGGTGCTATCGGGATCAGCTACGAAGCAGTAGCTCTTCACAGAGTCACCATCATGTAGTTCGTATTTGGGGTGAGCCTCTTGGTAAAAAATAATATAAGCATCCCCACTGACGAGAGAATTCGACGAAATTGAAGAAACTAGGGAATCATTGTACTCGTGCCAAATTTTCGTAAATAGATGTCTGCAGTAGGCTGTGTAGTGTCCGCTGTAGGTGGTACCGTTGTGATTTGAGATAGCGTACAGATTGTAAGGACATGGTACGATGTCTTCAGCTGCATAGGGGCTCATGTCCAAACTGATCAAGAAGAGGTCGACAATGGGCGTGTACACCTTAGTAGAACTTTTAACTGAAACCATGTTTATAATGATCCTTTTATACATAAATAATGATTGACGACATAATTCGATCGAAAAATTAACTGGAATGTTTTATTTTTGGACATAAATAATAGTACCTTCTGAAAACGGACCCTCTTATGACGTAGAAACCTCATCTCGCCATAGTTAAAAGAAAATACCAAACGCCCAACGGAGACTGAGGCAACTGATATATTAATTCTTTCAACTGTGATCTCGCGCTAATTCACTCTGTCAGAAATCATGTATCATTCATCTCTGTCTGGAATGATCTTGCTTCAGTATTAGGGTTTTGACGTCACATCATCGCCTCGTTTTCAGAGGTCCGAAAAATCGGGGATTTCAATAATTTTTTATAAAACGTAGGGAGCTCACAGCAAGAAACGGTGGTGAGCTAGTTTGGGTGAGTTCTATCGGATTATGAAATAAAATTTTTTTGTGATATAAGCCCATTATTGTCTTTAGTTTCTCACTGAACTCTACAGTGAATGTCAAGCGTTATTTGCATTACCTGTGACGTAGGTATGCACATACTATTTTGTGCCAACCAAAATGGTCGGTTGTCTTCCCGTTCAAAAAAAAATCTGTCAAATTGATATTCGATGATATCTTTTCATTCAACATTATTGAAATAGGTCGAATCACATTAGAACCACTTTGGTTGTATTCAGGATGGAATCTTTCAGTGTCTGTGAACACAACATAATCAGAACCGTATTCAAAAAAATAAGTTGATAATACAAGGTGGGCCAAAAGAAGTCATCCGATGTTGTTTGGCTCTCATTTTTTTTTCTAAATGAAAAGCTTCGATTCTGTTTTTTGATTATGTTTATTTGAACCTTAAGAATTTTATTGGTCAAGTAGAGAAGATGATATCGGCCAAATGGGCACCGCCACAATTGATTGCTATACGGTCTCGTTTTATGGCATTTTTCATCACTTCGGCGAGAACTTCGGGCGACAGATTCTCGCACTCGTGTCGAATGTTGTCCTTGAGGGCTTCCAGGGTCTCGGGCTTGTTCAAGTAAACACAAGACTTCAAAAAACCCTAAAAATAAAAAGTCTGGGACGGTTAAATCGGGCGATCTTGCGGGCCAGAGCAAATCGCCAAAACGAGAGATGAGGCGACCCGGGAACGTCTTGCTCGCGCAGTGTGTGCCGTTGATTGATTAATTGATTGATTGATTAATAGCAGAATGATCAGTCAGGGTTTGAAGCCCAAAACACTGCAGCCTTTGGGCCTATTGTATTCCTGATCATGCTGTTGACTTAGGTGAGCAGGTTCGCTACCTTGATGAGGTTTAGCAGCCTCTTCACCAAATCATTCTTTGAAAATGCCTCTTGAGAGTTTACTGCTCCCAGAAGGTTGTATCTCCAACGCGCTAGTGCTTCGCACTCCAATATTACATGGGTGGCAGTTTCCTCCTCCTCATTGCATAGTCTGCATATGGGTTCGTCTGTATAGATGCCCATTTGATGCATATGTTTCCTCAAGGGGCAGTGACCGGTTATTAGTCCCGTCACTTGTTTGATCTGACTTCTGTTTAGGCTCAGAATGTCGTTAGTCACTGTTTTGGACAGTGTTCCAACCATCAGTTTACTGTGTCTTTGTCCTGGGACATTGTTCCAGTATGCCTGATGTCTTTCTTGCATCCACCTTGCCAGCCAGCCGCGTATTGAGGTTTTGGGGATACCGAATACAGGTTCCGGTCCCATAAACAACGTCGCAGACCCTTGCCTGGCAAGAGCGTCAGCTGCTTCATTGCCTTCAATTCCCTTATGCCCTGGCACCCATTGAAGAGTTACCTTGTTGTGGTTAGCCAGGGTTAGCAGGCTTTGAAGGCAATCCCAGACCAGTTTAGATCTGATTTTATTGCATGTTAAAGATTGAATGACCGCCTGACTATCTGAGCATATGAGGATTTGTTTACCTCTATATCCTCTTACAATATTTTCTCTCAGGCATGCCTCAATAGCATGCACCTCTGCCTGGAATACTGAAGCATACCTCCCCAAGGAAGCACACATCCTGGTTCTGGGTCTATCTCCATATATTCCGGCTCCCGTGCCCTCATCAGTCTTAGAACCGTCAGTGTACCACACTAACGTGCCTTCCTGACAGTTAGTCAAGACCATTTCATCCCAGTAGAGCTGAGTGTTGAAGGGTCTGGTTTTGCGGCAGAAAAAACTCGGTTAACATGGCCCTATAGCGCGCACTGTCCACTGTTGTCGGTTGACCAGCGGTGTCCTCGAAAAAAATGGCCCGATGACTCCTCCAGAGTGATCAGCGCAACATGCAGTCACTTTGAGCGGGTGTAATGGCTCCTCGTGCATCACTCGTAGATTTTCGGTGCCCCAGAAGCGATAGTTCTGCTTGTTCACGTACCTGCTGAGGTGGAAATGAGCCTCGTCGCTCATTATGATTTTGGTCGAAAAATCGTCCATGAGATTGAGGATGGCTTGGCTTGGATTATTCCGCGTTCTTGGGGAGAGTATCGCTCCATGGCTCGTTCACTTGTATTCTACATTTGTCTAGTTCACAAACGTCAAAACAGATTCCAAATTGGCCGCCATTTGCAAAAATAAGAGCATCTTCCAATAGGGTGATTTCTTTTGACCCACCTAGTAGTTCTACGAATACGAAACGTTCGCATAGAGAAATCAATATCACCACGTTAAATCTCATCAATAGTTGGTATGGAAAAGTACTCTCAGTTTTTGGACGAAGTATCGTCTGATACCATTGCCAGCTTTGGAATTCTTTGCCGAATGAAGTATCCTCATGAACATATGAACTGCAAATGTTGAAAAGAAATTCCAATACTCTCATCTCTCGCTAAGTTATTGTTCGATGTTCATAAGTACGCGCGTTCCTCAAAAATTCCCGTTCGTGCATTCCAGAAAAAAAAAAGTGCACCTTTATCAAAATCAGAGCAGGTTTCTCTATTTTTTTTTCGAAACTGGTGCATCCAAACGGAATTAAACATGACAAACTTTTTCAGTTGAAGATTCGACCAAATCGTAATTTCATTTTTTGAAATGTTGGTTCCCAAGAAAACCTGATGGCTTGATCAATATTATACAGAGGGAAACAAAAGTTACTCTTTCACCCTCAACTTCTCAACGCCCTGTGACATAAGTGAGTGGTTAAGATTAAACTCAGCTTCAATATATATGTTTTGGATTGGAGTGTGATCCTTTCTCAATACAATGGTTTTTTTCACATCAATATCTTATTTTCAAGATATGACACTACAAGCATTCTTAGAAGTATGGATTTTTTTGATTTCTATCAACAATAATTCAGAACCAACATAAACTTATCGATTGATAACTTGAAAAAACTTCTGAACAATAATATCGCTTATTCCCATCTCGATTTTTAGCACCTACTGGCAAAAAAACTTTCATATTATCATCTGTAGTAGATATCTTCAAAGTCACATTTTTTGCAGGAACCCGTGGCCGATCCATCTATAAACAAAGCCGAACTAAGAAAAGCGCTCGAATGGGAACTCTCCTTGGACAGCCGAGATCTCCGTTCCCACGCTTGGTACCACGGCGCCATCCCAAGGTCCAGAGCCGAAGAAATAGTCCGGGAAGAAGGCGAATTCCTCATACGCGACTGCACATCACAACCTGGTAACTACGTCCTCTCCTGTAGAACCAAAACCCACCCTCTCCACTTCGTCATCAACAAAATGATACTGCAGCCCGACACGGTTTATGAGAGAGTCCAATACCAGTTCGAGGACGAGGCGTTCGACACCGTCCCAGATCTCATCACCTTCTATGTGGGCTCTGGGAAACCGATAACGATCGCTTCTGGCGCTAGGATACAGGTTCCCAGAAACAGGATGTATCCCTTATCGTTCTACGCCTCTAAGTATCCCACGCCTTTGCCGCAAAGCCGGTTAACATCGCCTGCTACGACGCCAGTTGGTCACCAATACCGTCACAGCCCCATGCAGCCATACAGACCCATGAGCAGCTCCCCAACTCGACCTTCTAGGGACGGTCCCCCAAGGCTTCCTTCCAAGAAACAGAGATCCCAGTCCCTGACCCCCTCGGAAGTCAATAGGATCTCCCAGGAGAAGTGCAACAGCGCAGACGGTGTAATCCAGTCCCCTATAATGACTCGATCTGCAGGTGCGGACTCTATCGCCAACAGTTCTAAGTTTTCATCACATTCCTTACCGCGTATACCCAATAGTAAACTCTCTTTGTCTAGCAGTGCGAACACTTTAGGTAGGAATAATCGAGTGACCAGTGATACCACGCTTTCTCCTTGTGCGGAAAGGAAGTTTTTTGGTGACTCGGGAGTGTTTGAATCCCCTCCACCTAAACCCTCACGAGTTCCTAGTCTCCTTAGAACCGATTCCAAAGACTCAGACGTGACTGATGCAAGGTACAGTTTGGACAGTGGGTGTGTTGTGCATGGGAGCCTTCAGAGGGTAACGTCCTACCACGCGTCTGGATCGGACTCTGGTAACGGGTCTGGAGATTCCGCCCTCAGCTCTACTGCGGACACTTACGACTTTCCAAAGTCTTCTGGTGTCGTTATCAAGTACCCCCGGTATAATATATCCAATTCCGAATCTTCGACCACCCTTAAAAACTTCGACATAGATTGGGTTGCAGCTGAGGAACACTTAGCGCAATTAGACCAAGTCCAGATTGATGTTTCTTCTAGGTTTGATTTGGAAAACTTCCAAACTTTGTTGCTTCCAGTTAGTGAGAATAAGCCTCTAGATGCGCAGGCTTTGAGGAGGATCAAGATGACTTTGTTCGAGTCTGGGCCTAGGATTCTTGCTAACCACCTGACAAGGACTGATTTAGATTTGATTTTCAACAAAAACGAGTTTGATAGTGTGGCGTCCAAGTTGACTACTGGAATGAAACTTTGTGTCTTGCCACACGGACATCAATTCAGGTTGGATCTTGTGGAAAGGTAAGCGTAGGATTTTTTCCATATCTTTTTCAAAAAGTATATATATTTTTCATATTTTCGCAAGGGTGTAAACTCGAATCTCGAATCAACATACCTTTATGCATTATATTCAACACATCCATGCAGTCTGGTACTTTTCCAGATGTTTGGAAAACTGCTTTGTTAGTTCCAATTTACAAAAATTCTGGAAGTAGAAACTCAGTGAATAATTATCGTGGCATAAGCAAATTATCCATTTTCAGCAAACTGTTTGAAAGTATTATCTATGACAGTCTATTTCATTGTCTCAAGTCTTCAATTTCAGAACACCAACACGGTTTTTTCTCCAAGCGTGCAATTGAAACAAACTTGATAATTCATTCAGAATACATCTCAAATGCACTAGACAATCGAGCACAGGTGGACTCGTTGTACACTGATTTCAGTAAGGCTTTTGATAAGGTTGATCATAACATCCTTATCTCGAAGCTTGCTGGAATCGGTGTGCAGGGAGACCTTTTGAGATGGTTATCATCCTATTTACACAATCGAAGCCAACTCGTGAATCTCAATGGATATAGGTCAGCACCCTTTGTGGTCACTTCAGGAGTTCCACAGGGTTCACACCTTGGCCCATTGTTGTTCTCGGTCTTCATTAACGATTTGATAGGGTGCTTTGAACAATCCAATATACTTTTATATGCGGATGACTTGAAAATTTTTGGAAAAGTAATCTCTCTCAAGGATTGTACGAAGATTCAAGAAGATCTATCAAAATTTTCAATTTATTGCAATCGCAACAGATTGAAACTAAATGTTAAAAAATGTGCTTGTATATCATTCAGCAAAAGTAGTACGCCGATTGAATTTCAATACTCCATAAATGATATTGTAATAAATAGAGTAGATCAAATCAAAGATCTTGGAGTATATTTTGATTCTAAAATGAGTTTTAATCCACATCTAGACTATGTAATCAACACCTGCAGTAAAACCTTAGGTTTCTTTTGCAGAATGTGTAGGGACTTCAACAATGAGGTGGCAATAAAATCAGTTTACTACTCATTTGTTTTCAGCAAATTGAATTTTGCTAGTGTCATATGGAACCCCTATTATAACATACATAAAGTACGTTTAGAAAGGCTTCAGAATAGATTTGTGAGATTCCTTCATTTTAAAATGACTAATATGTGTGTAATAACAGGTATTAGTGAAATTCGCACCCACTATAAGATACAACTTCTCGAACAGCGAAGAATTATCAATGATTTACTCATCATATTCAAAATATTAACAAACTGTTATGACTCACCGAAATTAGTGTCAATGATTTCCTACCATGTTCCTCAGAGGTATACCAGAAATAGACAATTATTAGCGTGCTCCAATTATAATACAAATTTAGGTAAAAATTCTCCAATGACCAGAATGTGTGATTTATTCAACAAATATTGCAATAATGTAAACATTTTTTCCATATCTTTATGTTCCTTTAAAAGAATTACAAAAAATATTTTTATTTCCTAATATCATGATGATGAGTAATTAATTACTAATTAGTATTCATTAATGAAATTGCTTACTATTTTTCCCGTATCTTATATATGATTGTCATTTTCATACCTCCTATGTAATTAGGTGTATTTTTGTAATTTTGTATTTGTTAAGACATGAATGTTAGCTCTGTAACGGATTGTATTAGTGGATGCTTGTATGGGTAACAACCTGTTAGTATCCCAAATTTCGAATAAATAAATAAATAAATAAATAAATAAACATATATTCAGCTACTTACACTGATGACGCGGATATGCAATTAACATAATTCTCTTAACAAAGCTTTACTAGTTAATCCAAAGTTGATGGTTCGGAACGTAAGCAAGTTTCGGAACGGTTGAATGATTCTTGAGACAGGTTTCAGAAACATGTTTGCTGACGAAAGTTGTTCGTGGTCTAGATCTATCATATAATCATTTTAGATTTTCAGAGGAATAGATTTCGAAGGATATGTCAGAATCTATAGTGTTCTATTGAAAAAAACAAGTTGAGGCAACCGGTTCCGGTACCTATACTTATGATTCCAGGGATAGGGGTTAACCACTATGTCCAATATGCGTACACTTGGTATGTCCAATTCCAATGTAATCTGTCCAATCTTGGCGGCCCAATATTCCTAATCTCGCAAATGTCTAATCCATGGGGGGGCTAATATGGAAATCAAATTATCATCTAATATAATAGTTTCATTGCAATGTGCAATGTCAAATCAAATTCAGAATACTCAGACAAAATTGAATTTGCCTTTCTTTTTAACATAAAAAAGGTATATTATAGTCAAAATTTGCTAAAGACAATTATTGTGTTTTGTTCTTCAAAGTCCCACAATTTTTTTCAATTCTAACACATCATATGATACAGTCTAACGAATATATCCGAAATATTCGTAATTTTTTTAAGAACCGGTTGCACAAAGCATTTGACAGACGATTAAATATTCAATTGATCATCCCAGAATTACGTCATTTGACAGGTTGTTGAGTGGCAAACATTGTATTTTGTCAAGATTTGTCATATAAAACCAAAATTAGTGGGATTGTTTTCCTTGAAATCCAAGTTGAAACCAGAAAGAATTTCATAATTTTGTTTGGTGAAACTGTTAATATATTGTGGATGTGGCAGGAATGACCAGGGCTATGCTCATCAAAGGTATCCTAACAGATAGTTTGTCATTAGTTGATGAATTAGATGAATTGATTCCTCGTTAAATTAACAGAGAGGTTTTCTAAATATCGAGTGATTTCATCTTAAGAACTGAGCAGAAAATGAAAAAAAATGAGTACGCCACAAAAAAATTGAAATAATGTTATCCGCATGATTGTGCCCTTCGAAAAATGTGTACGGAGGTGATGTCAAAATTGCTAATAAAAAAGGCGAAAGGAAAGGTCTTGGCGCAAATTTCATTTTGATTCTTATATTTTTCAATAGTGCCATTTGATAGTATAACTTGAGCTTTCATAAAGTTTGAATTAAATGTATGTATTGTATGTCACCCTATATATACGTCTGATGATTAAAATCTAAGGAGAAATCTTCGGATGGAAATTTTTAAAATGTTTCTTTTAGATGGCTTGGAAACAATAAAAATATAGATATTGGCATCTTTGTTCACCATTATAGTCTTGTCACTGTTACTATAAAAATCGAAATTTTCATTTTCAGAACTGAATGTCTGAAGTTATTAGTAGCTGTGACTATTCTAACCTGTGCTGATGAAGCTGAAAGGACAGACACTCTGAATAAATGGATAGAAATTGCGATAGACACCAAAACGGCCCTAGGAAATCTATTTGGATTTTGCGGCATTATGCTAGGGCTGTGTTTACCACAGGTGAGTAGAGTTGAATTTTGAACATGCATATGAAAATTATCGGAAAAGATACAAACTACAATTCCTATGACTTATGGAGGCATCCTCAGTAAAGATTTTTTATCAAACAACCATCTATAGAATACCTAACCTAATAGGTAATTTAACGGTATCTGGTATAATAAATTTGAAGAGATGTACCAACTAAAGCAATACAGATTTTCGTTGATATGGTTGAGTGGAAGAGCAACTGTCGATTTATCGGCGAGTTGAACTCTGTCTTTTGTTCCTTTGAGACAATAAAAGCATTTTTCCAGCACCAGCTATAAAACCTACCATTATTTACTCCTTTTCGAGGCGTCAAATATGTTTTTACTACCAAGGTAGTTTTCGTCATTTTATGAACCACTAGTCAATAAAGACATAGCCACCTCTGCTTTAATTAACGCGAATGCACTGTCCCTGGGGCTCTATTCTCGAACCGTTCGAATTCAATTCGTATACGAATAAAGAAAGATGCACTTATGTATGTGACGTATATTGAAGTGGAATAGAAGATCGAACTCGTATACGAATATCGCTCGAGAATAGACCCCCAGATCAGATATGCGCAGGAATGGCACACGAATAGTATAGATCGCGCGTGCACGATGACCGACCCTGGAGATAAAATATAAAAACATAACCTCACGCTTTTGTGAAACATTGAAATAGTTTTTCACAATATTTTGGCATACGAATCGTGTTTTTTGCGCTATTCATTAATTCAAGCATGCCTTCTCATTGTGCTGTTGTACAATGCACAAAAAATGCAGCGAGAGACGAAGGAATATGATTTTTCAGGTAAATAGTAATCTCACATAGTTTACATCATGGAATTTTGTCATTTCTTATTAAAATTAATCCTGCCACTTCTGCAATAGAAGCTAATACTGCTACAAGATTGAAGATGTCTACAACACACACGATCATATTTCGTCAGCATGTCAGACTAGCCTACCGTTTGATTGCATGAATCCAATCTCCTTGCATTATTTTAGAAATTTCACGAGTATTTCTATTAGTTCATATAGCAGATGGAATTCCGATGAGAAATTACCAAGTTTTAAAAATGAAAACTATATGTGAGTGACCATAGTAGGTACTCACTTTTAAATGTATACCAACCGGATTCCTTCGTCTTCCGCTGCATTTTTTGTGCATTGTACAACAGCACACTATGATGGCATGCGCGATTTAATGAATAGCCGAAAAACACGATTCGTATGAAGAAATAATTATGAAAAACTATTTCAATCACTTGTAAACAAATGAGAAAAGTGAGGTTGTGTTTCAATGTTTCACCTCGAGGGTCGTCATCTGACAGTTCTTGCACGCAACATAGGTATTTATCAATAACGACTTCTCGTATGCTGTCATGGTCATGGCTAAGTATTGAAAATAAGAGTTGTCATAGTGACAAAAGGTCCACATTTTGGTTTCACATGACTAAATTGATTGAAATATATTGCTAGTGGTGAAAAAAATCTAATATAAACCTTGGTAGTAAAGAATATTATTACCACGGGACCTTATGCCCCGCGGCTGCAGCCAGATATAATCTTGGTCCCTGGGTAATGATGATATTCTTTACTACCTTGGTGTATGAATAACTATTTTTATTATTATTATTATATAGTGACGTCTTGAGACGACATTGTATAATCGAACCACGATGGGTGAACTGAATTAATAGTTGTAGCAAGTTGATTCGCATAACTAATCAACAAGATTTTTAAACCAATCAATACAAGCTACTTTGATAAGATACGTATTCAAAATGAAATTGGGAAAAGAACGAGTAATTTGACGCTGGTGTTCTTATTTTGCTTAATTTAATCTTATTAAAAACTGACAAACCATCCTAGCAAAACAAACCGATAACTAGTCGGCTCTTTTAAAAACTGGCTATCAAGTCCGCGAAATATTGTTCTTTTTTCTCTGGGAATGTATTTGAAGCTCCTAGCAGAAGCTCATGATCAAAATTTTCCAGATACAAAAATTGGACTCCACTTGGCACATGCTGCGTCAGAAATACACCGATTCGGCCTTCAACTTCGAAGCTAAACTCCGGCCGACCCTCAAAAACATGAACAATTGCTCAAACCCGCAAGCACCGAACACCACCATTCCTCATTTGCTGCCTATCATTTTGCTACTAGAGAGAGATCTCGCTGCTTTTTTGGCACCCGCCGATCAACATTCACTGTCGCAAAGCTGCCTTGGTTTCTGGGAATCCAGCACCCAGGATTTCGGTCTCACCACTATTCTAAGCCACTTGCAAACTGCCAGGAAGTACTTGGAGCTGTGCCCAACATATCAGAGGAACGCAGAGATTGTACTGGGGGAAGCAAGGATGGACGAACTCACGTTGGACATATTCAAAACCGAGTTCCAGCTCAAGTTTTTGTGGGGCAGCAAGGGTTCCCACGCCGATTCGGACGAGAGACACATGAAGTTCGAGCAAGTGCTGACGGTCATGGCTGAGAAATATTGCAACTTGAAGAGTGAAAGCTGAATCAATTCGTGTTCCGTATTTGTGATCTTAAAATAGTTACATCGTGTGAGCTATGGTTAAATCTCTGAGATGTGAGGTACAGATTGGTAGAATAGGCCTTTTCATTTAGATATATTTTTGAGACGCATGCGGTTGTTTTTAGATCCAAAATTTGATTGGGTAATGCGAAGGTGAAGTCTCATTGGCTATAGTTCCGACACAAAATTCTGATTGGCCAATTCGAATATGGCGGTTTTTATTGACGTTCTGTCAAATGTCAACAGTGTCAACCACCATGGGCATTCGTAATTGAGAAACAACAAAAACAACATAGTATTTTAGCTTCTTTATTCCTGATGGGTATTAATTGTATTATAATTAATTCGAAAAAACTAAAAAATGTTACTTATTCGTTACTGAGGAGTGTGGTGCAAGTGTTTCGGTGGATATGGCCGCCACTGTCGTTGGATGAAAGATGTAAGCAGTGATAGTCATTTAAATGAAAAGGCATATTGTTAAGTAGGTATACCTCGTGTTTCAATTTATTCGGCTTCGTCTTAAGATGTTTTCTTCTCTGCTAATGCGAAAGTTGCCTGGTAAACTCCAAATTGAATATTATAAGATTGGATAACAGAATAAAACATCATTATAGTCATCTTATCTGATGATTTTTTCCTGATCTCTGACTGCAATTCTGCTGCTACTACATAACAGTATAAGTTCATTGAGGCTTAATTCAGAAGGCAACTAACTTATGTATGTATAAGTTATCCAGTTGAAATTAAAATAATAAAGACCACAAATCACGGATCTGATGACCTCTAAATTTTCCATTCCATTCCAGAATTCATCACAAAGACAACACGACATGCTCACATCATTAGCTAGCTCAAAATGGCGTCCCGCCTGTCGATAACCTGATTTAGACTTGTACGTACAATGGACGTTCACTTCACGTCCATAAACGTCATGACTTGAAATGATTTCTGATAGATGTTTAGTTTGGTCTTACTGGTTGTACTTATGATGGATGTTCATTTTGCAAGCATGAATGATTTAACTTAAAATGGCCGTTAAATGAACATGCATCATAAGTACAAAATATGTGACCAAAACATCTATCAGAAATCATTTCAAGTCATGACGTTTATCGACGTGAAGTGAACGTCCGTTAATGCTATTTGTATTATCCAATGTACGTCTGGCTTTGCAGGTACGATGGATATCGATTAAACTTCCACGAGAGTTTAGACTTCAAGTTGACGTAGAATGGATATATATCCAACGGAAGCTAATTTGGATACATCCATTGTACATGCAATAAATGTTCTTTCTTTGTCCATGAATGGTTGGACGTTAAATGGATCACGTTCACTGGCTGAAACATCCAATGATCATTTATGTTTGTACGTAAATTGGATGTATGTACATACAATGTCCATGGACGTTTGAAATTGAAATCTAAGAATATGGATAGGTAATAATGAAGTCGAAAAAATCGAGTTATACGGGAAGATATTAAATTCATAAAACTCAAATTCATAATTTTTTCGGAAATTTTTCAAAACTGTGGTTTGGTTTGTATAAAAATACAAAATCTCAAGATATATTCATGTTTGAGGTTTTTTACCCCTATAATGTCAAATTATTTTACTACCGATTTTCTCATTAGCAAAGAGAAGAAGGTAACCTAGAGAAAGTAGATATAGGTACCTACTGTATATAAGAGGCTGATATACAGGGTGTTCATTTCAGGACTTCCCACCCTAATTTTCTCGAAATGTGTGTATGTTTTTGAAAAATCCCGAGACACGTCAACTACATTTTCGAGGGGGACATGGTTCTGAAATATTTTCAGCCCCGCGACGTTGCCGCTTCTAACGAAAAGAAGCAACAACTTTGGTATTTCAAATGGAACACCCTGTATTTTATTGCATTTTTAGATTCTCCCTGAAAAGCTGATTTCATCAATGTATCACACTTGGGGTCTAGCAGGAATGATTACAGAGATATAGGGTGTTCAAAATCGAGATTTTACAACTTTAGGATTTTTTTGAGTCGAAACTATTCATTATTGGTCAAAACGGCTTTCATGTCCCTATCTCAACTTTTGATTTACTATCTACTGACATTTATTTGAAACAAATACAGGGTGATCAAAAGTCTGATTCTTGAACCACCCTGTATTTGTTTCAAATAAATGTCAGTAGATAGTAAATCAAAAGTTGAGATAGGGACATGAAAGCCGTTTTGACCAATAATGAATAGTTTCGACTCAAAAAAAATCCTAAAGTTGTAAAATCTCGATTTTGAACACCCTATATCTCTGTAATCATTCCTGCTAGACCCCAAGTGTGATACATTGATGAAATCAGCTTTTCAGGGAGAATCTAAAAATGCAATAAAATACAGGGTGTTCCATTTGAAATACCAAAGTTGTTGCTTCTTTTCGTTAGAAGCGGCAACGCCGCGGGGCTGAAAATATTTTAGAACCATGTCCCCCTCGAAAATGTAGTTGACGTGTCTCGGGATTTTTCAAAAACATACACACATTTCGAGAAAATTAGGGTGGGAAGTCCTGAAATGAACACCCTGTATGAATCAGGTATACCAGTAGCACCATCTGGTTCTGGCTGCCAGTCAAAACCTGTTAGCACCCATTATGATTCATGACTGAATCATTCATAAAATTGGGAACCAAATCTGATCTCACCAAAATTCAAAATAGGTAAAATCAAGAAAAACTAACTAAAATTAAAAATGAAAAAAATTCTACCCACATCTGCAGGACATTTAACTATGGCCCACTACTATGCCAGTATACAAGGATGGTCCAATTTGAAATTTTTATAACCAAACTTAGACCACCCAAAATATACTATCAGATAATTTTAGCATTTTTGTGATAAACGTAATAATGTTCAGAAAGAGTATTGCATTTTTGCAATTTAATATTATATAACTTTTCAATAGTCAAATATACAAGAATCATGGTAATAATAATTATTGAAATGACATAATTTTCTTAGTTTTTGTTCCATAACCAAAACAATGTACCTACCTATAACCTTTGACAATTCAACGAATTTTTTTAGATGAAGAGGTTCTTTATTACTCTTTGACATATCAAAAACAATCTAATTTTTAGAAGTTCCAAAAGCAACTGTGTCATGAAGTACTAAGTAGTTCATGAACAAAGATATATTGTAAAAAATAGGTAAGCTTTAAATTACTTTAATTAGTAGATTTTGAAAGGTGCTCATTTATTATTATGTAAGAAAATATTTGGTGAAAAATCAAAAGAATTATTTTACGCATCCCAAATGTGACAATATAAAATAAGACTGGTGTTCTATTTTCCAAGATATGGATGAACTATTTTGTCCAAAAATAACACATTTGAAACCAACTTAGCAGAACTGAAGGATTCCTAAAGAGAAAGTAAAATTGTAATTTTACTTACACAATTTTGGTCAAATTTAATAGGAATTGAATACCTTATTCAAAACGGGTGAATCCTTCAGTTTTCCTAAACCTGTGTGTATACTATATATAAATGATATATCTGTGGGTCCTTATTTCAATATGCATTTGAATTACTTGAACTACAACAAGGCTTCTTATGACTGATTTTTCTTACAGATTTACAGAATTTCTTAAATTTTTAATGTGATTTTATGTTTATTGATGATATAATTCCAGCTAAATTTAGCTAAATGAAGTACTTATGTGTATTATGTAGATTTAATATATTTAGTCTAATGGGTCTATTACTATAGTAGTGAATAGAATGTTATTGTAAACAATAATGTATAATAGATTTCTGTGTGATTCACAGTGTTGAAAGTTACTAAATATAATTGAAATAAAAGTAGTAAATATTTAAACAATTTATTTCTTCATTAATTCATCCCTAACATGTTTTGGTATCTTAATTCTTTTCCTTTTAGTACTTTCAATATGAGGTTTTCTTTCTTTTGGTGCTACAATCATTTTAGAACTTGATTTAGCCTTTCTTTTTTTACATGACAAAGGATTTGGACCTTTTTTCTTCTTTTTCCTAATTTTTTCTTGGCTTCCTGCTAATCCATTCTCTTCTTTTAATTTTTCCAGAGCTTCTCTTTCAGAACCCTGTAAGAGTGATAACCTATTCTTAGCTGTTATTACAGATGCTTCTGAAGGTTGTTCCAAAACAGGGGTTTTAATATGTAGGTAGAGCAAGGGAACCCCTGGTTTATTTCGTATTTTGGTTTGTAGATCTCTATCCTGTGTTGCAATAATATAATGATTCTCATTTGTTTTTCCAAGCATAGATAAAATACATTTTGATCCAGAAATAGGTTTTCCTTCATGGCCACATTTATGAATGGTGTACATTTTCAAGATTATCAAAGCACCATTCAATTTGGGACCCAAATTCTCCATTTCTATGATAGCACATTGTGTGGTAATCAGCTTTACATCTGCCTGGAGGTATCTGGGAATATTATCAGCTATGTTGATTTTATTCTAAAAAAAAAAAAAATTGATTCACTAAGATACTTGAGCATATTTTTGATTAAAACATACACTATTCTGATTAATCACTTCATGATTATGTACAGTCACTTGAAATATTTGCAGACACCACACACTCACAGTCATTGTCACTTCACTTGAATTGAATGAACTAACTTTGCTAAATAGTGGTAGACTTCTGAATTGGCTGAATAGGCCTGGCATGTGCTGATTTGGGAGACAGTTCCAAAAAATGTAGGAATGTACTGATTTCAAATAAGTGAGTATGGCTCATCCACTCAGCAATAGGTACTACTTGAGTCACTGGATGGTATTAGTTATCTACCTACCATCCTTCCAACAACTAATACCATCCACTGACTCTTTTAAATGCTTAAATTCAGTCTCTGAAGAGTCCTAAGATGGAAATACCTCAGGAAATACATCTCATGTCATTATGATTGAAAAAACTACTACTTGGGTATGTTGTTCAGGGTATAACCATCCAAGAAAAGCATAAAACATAATTATATGAATAAGAGGATGATATAAACTTTGAATATTTATTGTGGAGTGAGATGAAAAATGGGAAGAGAAATTGAGACTACAATAAACTTACATTCAGTGCAGTCAAGCAGAATGTTCCATCAACTAAAATTTGGTATGGTTGTCTGAATCCATAATTATGTGTGAAAAATCCCAAATGTTTATGAACTTTCTTGTACCGTTTCACTTTCATTTTGGATTCGGAGATAACTCAGGTCACTGAAAGGCAGGGTAGAGAGTTTGAGCCTGGGTCCTTCCTTGGTTATACTTTCACCTTAATTATTTTCTTTTCATACAAATTTCGAACCACTTGAAACTTTTGACTCTTTGCTTTTGAAATTGCTTTTGGAAATTGCTTTTGAAAGTCCTATCCTATAACCTCAATCTTCAACTAACTTCAAGTGCTTCTTGCTCTCTTGCTCAGCTTCTTGGCAGTTCTTGGACTTCTTCTGACTTCAAGCCTAACGACCAGTGTTGCTTAGAGTTCCTAAATGTACTTGACACTGCTGATTTTGACGTTTTTGTAAATATGTATTCATTCAAGGAGTTCAATGGTTCATTGGTGTTGCTTGCTACACGTCACAAAGAGAATTATCGCATGAGCCGTTTAAAATTATCGTATGTATATTCGTGTATTCTGGCGTTGAACTTCTCTCACGTTCCGAATCAGAATCCGACATGTTTCAGTTTTAATATGAGATGACTATTCAAACCTGAACTAATTTGAGTTGCAAATAAATGTCCTTTAACACGAGAAAATTATTACATATAGCAACACTGCTCACGGCTCACGGAAGAGAAGCAAGAGAAGATGCCCAGAGAATCAGAGATGAAAGATAAAGAGGGAGAAAAAGATTTCTGATAGATTTGGCCTCGGTGCTCCTTTCAGTTGATCAAAATCTCATTCCATTTCTCCAAAAAATACGATTTCCGTTTACGAAGTCGAATTCGATCGCGACTTGATCGAGAAAAAGAATAGGAAATGAATTAGTATCGTACGACAATCGACGATCGTGAAACAGAATCCCCCTGTAGCATTCATTTGACAATGTGGGCAGTTGACAGATCGAAGCCAAATATCAAATACTATCGATTATTTTGAACTATTGATGGTATCGATAGATCGATAAAGCTATCGATAGTCGGACACCTCTTTACCTCTTCACCTTCACCTCTAAAAACGGTAGAGGTGGAAAACTATCGATAGTTCAGACTATCAATAGTTTTGATAGTTCTTTCAAAAACATTCGATACTATCGTTAGTACTATAGATCTAGAATTTCGTTCAAAAAATATATTTGTCCTCATTTTTCAATGTATTTTTGTTCACTCAGATCAATACTGTGACGAAAACAGGTGAAAATGAACATATATGAATCATTCAATGAATGATTCAGCAGGTACAAAACATCAGGAACAAAAATCTTTGAAATATTGAAGAGAAAAATGAATAGCAAAGAAACTAATCCAAAATAATCATCGATTTTGACTACTTTAGGCAAGTGCGATCCTGAGGTGAATCTTTCTTTAGGAGGGTTTGTTATAGGAATACATCAATTTTGCTGTTTTATTTTCAATTTGCATATTCTTTGTTAATTTTCTTGTTGATTTCATTTTCAATTGATCTGTTTTGATGATCTATCCCCTCTTTCCCCCATAGGACCGCCCTAGACTTCAGGTTTGAGCCTCTCTTCTGTTACTGGTTTATTTGTCCAGTTTTGGAGAAAATTTTCTAGGACAGATTTAGCTGGGACATACTTTTTTTCTTCTAGGTACAACGAAAACATTGTTCCAATATCATAATTTCCATTTGAATCTTTTCTTGTTGTAATTGTTCCTTAGATTTTTTACTTGACTGTTGTTCGATGACTGTTGAACTCTGAAAGTCAAAATAGCGTACAAAATTCTGAACCAGTGAACCGATAGTTTATCGATAACAGTATTCAAAAACTATCGATTGTTTCGATAGTACAAAACCATCGATACTATCGATAGTGCTATCGATAGTTTTCCACCACTAAAGGCACTAAAAAAATGGCTCTATCTCTAAATTCTATTCTACATTCATCGATATTTTCAGCTGTTCATTTCACAATGAATATTAATTCAATTAAATATTAAATCCCCGATTGTGATTCCCAGCGTTTTATAGTACTAGTAAGGAACAAAAAGAAACAAAACATTTTTTTCTCAGAACTCAGAAGGACGTTTTGGATATTATATTTATTTCACCTAGTTATCTGGAATATCCTTGAGAAGGTTGTGTATATGTCCAATGTCTGCTACATTTGCTCAACGAGGCCCTAGGCCACCTCCTGATCCCAAGCAGATCCAACGTTTATTAGATGAGAATGGGCATTTAATACAAACCATCCAAGATTTTCAGAGTAAAGGAAAATCTCAAGAGGTGATGCAGCTGCAAACGACTCTACACAGGAATTTAGTATTTCTAGCCACTGTAGCTGATTCTGCACAAAATGTTAACGCCTTATTACCTGTAAGTGTTTTTTTTTCTATCAGTAAGTGTATTGTTTCTCTAGTAGTGATAGTAATATTTTCCTTTATTTTAAGATGATTCAACCTCCAGGACCTAGTGGTGGTATGCCACAGCCAAATCACCCTACTCCACCAACAGATCAACAACATAACATGAACAATTTCAATCACCAACAACAGCCACCAGGGCCTCCCACTGGACCATATAGGTAAGTAGATGAATATAGGTAGTTCCTGAAAAATATATATTTTCACATTGTCACATGTTGGATCATAAAAATTAACAGAAAGCCTATTTATGATGCAAGCAAGATGACAGTCATAAAATTGAGCAAATGCTCAGTTACCAGCATTAGTTATGTTCTGGTATTTTGTTGTACTACTGTTGTAGTTTATCTGACTTGAAATCTTTTTGAATTGCAATGTTTTGTGGATCTGCATTGTGAAAAAATCATTATTTTTCAAGGGTTGGTTTACATAATATTTTCTTGAAAACTATCAGATATAGGTATAGAGCATTCTCAGTAAAAGATCACTTAGTAGCTACCACTTTCTAATGTAAGCTGCTGCAGCACAAGCCCACAAATTTTCAAAATGATCTGTCCTTCAGTTCTCCAGATTCTTCTGATGTACCATCCACCATGAAACACTTTGAATTGAACAAAGATATCAATAGTATACAACAATACAAAACCTATCAATGGGTAGAAGTTTTCAAAATCATTGATGCAAAGAAAAAACCTAGCATGGCATCAAGAAATCAATGTATAGCACATGTTCAATGATACTGAATAATAGGGGCCATATGAAACATAATTGAGTTGTTACAACAAGGTTCATCACTATCTCCAGTTCTATACATCTTATGCTCAATCATTTATATCACCATGCCTATCAAAACTCAAAATAGTCAGCTACCAACATTCATTCATACATACTGTCATCTGTAGACTTGCTAACAAATTTGAATTCATAACTACCATGAATCTTCCAAAGTGGTTCTTTCCTCTAACTTTTAGAGTGTGTGGTATCTTCACTGTAAGAATCCAACAAATTGATAGCCTTGGATGGATTCAGACAAATTATAATGAACTGTGTTTTTCCTTTTTATTTTTCACTAATTTACAGTTCAAACATGAAATATCTGACACTGTCAATCCAATCAAAAAATACAGGGTCATCTTCATCAAAACTGTTAACAATCTCATTCACATTCACCATTTGGTCTAAGAATGTTGATGTTTTTTTGTGAATATGCATGTCAGATTCAAGATTTCCTTTCAAAAATAAAGTCCATATAGAAATGTCTATGATGAAACAATGAATAGATGATGTAGTCCTCCATCAATGAACTTTATTTAATTTTTTATTTCATTTCAGGCCACCACAACAAGCACCCCAACGCCCAGGGCTGCCTGCCCCCCATCAGTACCCTCAGAGAGGATATCCACAAGGGCAGTACCCCAACCAGTACCAACAGCAGGCCACAGGGTATCCACAAGGACAATATCCACCACCAAATCAACCACCTGTATATCCTCCCAACACTGCTCAAGGAAATTATGGGCAACCTCAGACAACTGCTGCCCCTCACAATAATTATCAACAACCAGGTAAGAATATTTCTAATTTCAGAACTTGACAATGATAGTCGTTTTCATCAAATGATTTTTTCTACTGCCTCACTAGAAAACATAATTTTCCCTATCCCTATATTGAAGACCGGATCTTTGGTACTATCACTACACTGTTTCACCACTAACCAAACTGATTTTTATATGACTCAAACCCATATAAAAAATCGGTTTGGTTACTGGTGAAACAATGTAGTGTTCCCAGTCAGTGGCGGCTCGTGACTTTCATGACAGAGGAGGCTGAATGATATGAGATTTATTGTGGAAAACAACTCTCTACTCACCCAAATCGATAGCTTTAATGACATTCTGTTTACCAGTTAACCTGAACTTAATACTTGAAGAGATGTGTTCCTGTGATTTGCAGTATCTATCCAATCCGCTAGGCAAATTTTTCAAATCATTATATTCTAATCTCTCCCAACATGATGACTTAGCGGTTGAAAATAATAGGCAGTACCAACAAAATAGCTTATTCCTTACCTCAAATCCCGTCAACCAGATATATTTTTTATAATTATCAGAATTGAAGGAACGATTTTGTTTGTTACCGGTTACAATCAGATTTTTTAATTCCGGTGTCGGACGTTTGTTTTTCACAATCAATTTATCTTCATAAGACAAAGCACTTAATGGGTTCACCAAAAAGTATTCCACTAAATCGCAATCTTTCAAAACACTCATTTTTCAGAAATTTATAGAGCCCCTAACCATTAACCTAACATAAACATAAACAATGCACTCGCGCTGGATTTTCCGCAATTCGCGACGCGACAGGACAAACACGTGCTATTCGGGCGTATTCGGGCATTTGCATTGCGCGGGTGGGTTTCGTTTGTGAAGGAGTCTAGCCTCCTATAGATGTTGCCAAGTTGAATATTTTACGCGTGATTTGCAGACTTCAACGTGTAATGCGTGGGCAAGCACTGTTGCCAATTCAAAAATATTTAACTAAAAACAAGAAATAGAGTCAAAATCCATGTATTTTGGTGTCCTTTTAATGAGAAAGTATAAATAATATTAGTTTAAGGAAAATCTCTGAGGAGGCTCAGCCTCCGTTGCGAGCTCCGTTGCCTCCTCTGAGGAGCCGCCACTGTTCCCAATCCCTATTCCCTATCATTTTCAATCCCTAAAGAAGAGAGGAGAACATTTTCCAACCTTCAAACAAATTGTTGATTTTTTCGTTTTTTCTTTATAGCCCTTCTGGTTTTCCAGATATTCAGATCAATTTGAAACATAGTTGATGTTTTAGGGTTCAAATCATACAGTATGGAAAATGATTGTGAGATTCTACAGGGAGATATTCTTTTAGGGGTTTAGCCCTTTTTTGCTCCATAAACTTTTTTGTGGTGCGCCACTGGTAAATTTTGGAATACAAGTTCTTTGTTTTCAGAATTTTTAACCAAAACGGAGGAACCTATCATCACAATGAAAACAAAATACGCTTTATATTTAATTTTTTATCTTAATTATAAGTTTTCAAATATTACATAATGAATAAGAAACCAAACAAACCTTGACTTTGAATACTCAGAATGATGTGTGTATATACATATTTTTGTCTGAAGGAGAATGCAAATTCTCAATTTCAGAAATTTTTATATTTTATTTTCAAACTCTTATCGTGTGTGTTCAATAGATATAATTCAATGTTCGTCGTGGCATATAGCCAGGAAAGTAGTTGTTTTCTATTGAATTAACTGAAAAAGAGTAAATATTCTCATCACATAGAGAATGCGAATTCTCAATGTATTGTTTTATATAAATATATATCCATTATTGTATGTTCATAATTTATCTGAGAATATTCCTTTTCAAAAAAAATTGAAAAAGAAAAGTTTAAAGTATGTGGCACAAAGGAATACTTTACAAATTATGTACTTTGAACTGCCCTAAACATATAGTATACTTAATAAAGGATTACCTAGACAAAAGGTCCCTGCAAATAAAAGTACATCAGGCACAATCAATAATTTTCTACCCTTGTCTCCATTTCTCTACAATATAATCGACATATTCAATTGGAACAATCAAAATCTACAAAATCAAAACACATTCATCTAGGGCATATAATTCGCTGATGATACAGCCATTATAAGTCATCATGAATTACTTGAAAAAGCAGTTGAAGAGTTACAAAACGCAATTCGGAACACTATGAGATGGTGTGACAAGTGGAGGATAAAACCAAATCCAGGAAAATCCCAACTGACACTCTTCAATAAAAAAAGTATCAGATGATTCACCCACGGTAACTGTGAACAATCATGTAGTGAGAACTAGGGCATTAGTCAAATATCTGGGAGTGCACTTAGATCAAGAACTAAACTTTAACCATCATACCCAGTTGATGATAAAAAAGTGCATCACAAAAGCTAAACATTTTCAAAGCCATTTGCCGCCAATTCTTGAGTATGCTCACCCAATATACTTAAACACGAGGAAGTCGGCACTGAACAATTTGGAATAGCAGAAAGAGCAAGCCTGAGAGCCATTACCAAAATCCGGCACCCTCAAAATCCCCTTCACCATCCATCAAACGAACTTCTATATCGGCTGACCAGGGTGCAACCAATTTATGAGAGACTGAAAAAGCTAACATTGAAGTTTTCCAAAAACGAATCCAATCTCCAAATTATCCAATTCCAGTGTTTACAGAGAGATCCAACAGTGAACCCAAGACCCAAGTGAAAAATGAGTCCCTGAAATCTTTATACAGATTTTTGAAACACTCTGTGAAGTACATAACCTTGGAATCTCAGACATTATTTGCCTCGGAATTCAAAATAAGGATAGAGCATGTTTTTGTTGTGCCAACTTGTCAGAATAGTTATTTATTCTACAAGGGAAAACAGTAGTAGATTTTAGCTCCAGGTTGTGTTGTCTCCCGACGCGTAGCGAAGGGAGACAAAAAAACGTGAGCTAAAATCTAATATTTGTCCCGTGTGTAATACACTATTTTTTTCTGTGACAGAAGAAAGGAAGAATCAATATTGAGAAGATATTACATTATTTTGAAATCTGAAAATTATCGACGTGAAAGTTTTTAACAGTAGGGACACCTGCGTCGTAGGCATTTTTATCATTCTTTTGAAGTAATCAAATATCTGATGTCACTTCTGTCAGTCCAATTCTGTGATAAGATTTCAAAAAATTTCCAATTTAGTGGTTGTTTAGTAATATACAGCGAAGTCGAATGGGAGATAAAAGGACTTGCAGTTCTCTCTCGGAGACGGTATTATTGACTCATTTTTCGGAACTATAGCACAACAAAAGCCATCAACAGTGTTTATATATGTAATACATATCCGGGAAAAAAGTACTCACTTCTTTCCCACAATAAAAAAGCAATTTATGAAAAGTGACATTTTATAACCTGCCAACAGAGATGAAATGCCAAACTTTTTTCCCGTCACAGAAAAAACGTGATATTATTCGTGCACTTTCAGGTTACGGTGGACCACCACCTAGTGGAAACCCCCCGCAGCCGAATCCAGCCCCTGGACCTTACCCTCCGCCCGGCGCCCCGAACCAAACCCCTCCAACCCAATACGGCACCCCTCCCAACGGGGCTCCCTACCCCAACAGCGCGCCACCGCAGAACTACCCGCCTCCATCCCAACAGGGTTACCCCGCCCCGCAAAGCTACGGTCCGCCGCCCGCGAACCAATCCCAACCCGCCCAACCGCCCTACCCGAACCAACCCAATCCCGCCCCGCAAAATTACGCGCCCAACAACCAGCAGGCGCCGCCCTTCTCCGGTCCTCCGACCAACAGTTCCTCTTCCGCCGTCACTTCCGCTCCGGTCACGGCTCCCCCGCAACCGGCAACGTCGCAACCCTACCAACCCCCCTACCCTCCCAATTCGCAGCCTACCAACGCGGGGTACACTTCGCCTCCGAATCAAGGATACCCTTCGGGTCCGGCGGGGCCGCCCAATGCGTACGGATATCCGCCCCAGGCTGCCGGTTATCCGCCCCAGCCGCAGTATGGGCAGCAGGCGCAGGGGTACCAATACCGGCCGCCGGGCAATCAGGGACCTCCGGGGCCGCCGCCGCCTCAAGGGCAGTATTCATACAACTACCCGCCACAACCGAATCCACAGTGAACACGTTGTTGTGGGTATGATGGATGGTATGATTTTATTTTTTCATTGGAAATGGTGATTATGTATTTTGGGGAGAGTTGATGTTTTTTTTGTCTGATTATGATTTGATTGTCCTGAGCTGATACTGCTATTCTTGAAGTAGTTTACTTGTTTAACACGTTGACTGCCATGTTGGTCTATAGAACCGAGGAAAAAATATCCTGAAGTGCCGCCTCGGTCTCATAGACCGGGATTGGGGTTGATACACCCCAGGCCGACTCGGCCTATGAGACCGAGTCAATTGAAGGACTCGGTCTGAATTAATGTCAATAATATTGCGGAGTATGCGGAGAGTGACCGAGACGGCTTCAGTGACAAGTTTGCACTGCAAATTATCATCATCAGACGCACAGACCGAGTCGGCGTGGCAGGCAAATCAGTATGAACACAAAATGTTTGGTAGGCCGATGTTGTGAAATAAACTTTTATTCAGTGAATGAAATGTAACATAATTTTTTTTTTAGTAAATATAATCGAATATAAGTGTTCCAAGAATATGTAATGTATATAATATATTCTTATGAAATTTTGTGTAACAATCTAGGAAAAATACTGGTTCATTTCAAATTAGGGGCTGATCTCTATCCTCTGACTCAGTGAATTTAAACGATCTCGAAATCTGCTCATTTTCTAAACTAAACAAATATCACTTACACATCCACCGAACATGAAATGAACAATGAGCGACTCCCTCCACCAGTGTACAACAATCGGGATACACGTGATATATTCACTAGACCGAGCTGCCAGACCAACGCGGCGTACTCATTCATGTATACATGTATACACTAGTGCCCGGTCGGTCTGTAAGACCGAGCTGAAATTTTTGAATTTTTAGGATCTAGGGTCCCAATTATCAAAAATTTCAGCGATGTACTATCTTCTGTAGGCTTTAGCTACATGGAGTCACTGATGGTTTCTGGGACACATTCTTTAATTTTGCTTCAACTCTAATACCAAAAGTGTGATTATGAGCCCGGCAGTCAACGTGTTAATGGATCCTTCCATATCAATTATTGTGGCGTGAGTAAATGAAAAACTGACTATGATAAATGGAAAGGACAATTGACAGGAATTTTTCATTTTCTTCATAACAGATAACTGAGATAAGGTGTTATTTAAGTATCTGGCCAAACCCCAAAGGGTGATTTCTTCTGTGATTCTGAGACGAAAAGTTTATATGAACATAGGTCCGGAAATGCATAGGTCCAGAAATGCATAGTTTTCAGAATAAAAGATGCCAAACATTTTTGAAAAAAAAAAAAATCTTTTTCACAAATCCGATTATAACTAAATCTGCTCCTTACTACTATGATAAATAGGCGAGTGAACTATTTTTTTATATTTTTTAAATAGAGTCATGACTCAAGGTGCTCAAATCATCAACAATGCCACGGTAATTTTCGAACGGCTAGAAATTTACCGCGAGTAAAAACTGACGACACGATTTTGTGAGTAGGGGCAGACCATAGCGCAGCTGCCATATGTTGAAATACGATTGGGAACTTCAGATAAACATATATTCGTTAATCAATAATTCATAAATTCTCAATTATGTATTTTCAATACTCTCAATTATCAATAAAAATTCAATTGTCTCAGAATTTTCCCTCCTGTGTTGTGGCTTATTGTTGTGTATATAATAATTATTATAATTCACACCTGAGGACATTTGAACCGGTGAACGTTACAGTTCTCAGCATTCAGCACATTGTTGCCAAGTCTTCCAACATTTACATGATAATTTGTTTTAGAGTAAAAAAATATTTGGGCATGCTGGTTGCTCAAAGAACTCAAAAATGAACTGGCGTATCATGGCTTCCTCCTATTATGTTTTATCTCCTGTTCTATTCAACGACAGGAGTGACAAGAATCTAATATCTTTTTGATAACTTGACAACCTTGCTTCATGAGTGGGAATGGAAGATTATCAGCACAAAAACAGACGTCACCATTTATTCGACGTATCACCAAATGGGGCCATGATGGTACGTTTGAAATGAGCCTTGAAATTCAAATTCATTATTTACATAAAAAAAAGCGTGAGTAGTATTGCCAAAATTAATTTAGGTCCCTAACGACACAGTGGAGTAATTAAATGCCAATAATTCGCCCATTCTGCCAAATTCCAATAGAATTGAATGAAGGATTTCCATAACATTAACGACGAACCGATTTAATAAAAAATCAACACACTGTACCTTGAAAACAATGCATTTCTGGCCCTATGTTTATATGAACTTTTATCTAAGAATCACTTGAATAGTTATCCCATGAAGTTTAGCCACATACTCGAAAATCACCCTGTATAGTATCTAAAATAGTGTTACTGTATAGTGACACAGATTGATGATGCAATTATATCTGAGACTAGAAAATAAGTTTTAGGGGATGGGTATAAGTACTCTAAACCCTATTGATCATTGTGTAAAATCACTATTTGATATCAATTTAATTGAATGCAGAATCAATTAAATGTGGATGTAGTTTTTTTTTTCATTTTCTGACGTTCATTACTGAAAATAGTGAAAGATATTCATAGCAGTATCAACAGGAGTTTTAGAATATGCTATAGCATGCAAGCTTTGATTCTGAATTGGAAGTGATCCTGTTCTGATTCAAAACTCTTCATTATATTTTCCTAAAATGTATAATTCTCAATTCACCTTTGCATGAGGTGTGCAACAATTTGAGTACTCGAATTTTTCTATAATTTAGTGATTGTCTTGATGGTTTATAAATGTAATTATGATTTCAATTTTTGAATAAAACACTAAGGTAAATGAAATCATTCATTTTTTTAGAATATCAATGCAACAGTTATCCTTAACACTCTAATTTGATGATGTGATGATGATTAGGCTTGCAGATATAAATAGCTAAACTTGGAATAAATGAAAACATGACGGAGTAAGTCATGGGCTATGTACTACCGTAAAAAAATAATTTGTACAGAATGGATTATAAGACTATAAACCATTCCATTCAACTCCTTCGTCAATACACTATTCATATTGAATTTAGTCTGCCATGAATTGAAGCTGTTGCCTGGCCATAGTGGCATCTGGGAAGAATCAATGTAATATATAGAGAGAAACGTTTTTAAACTATTTTTATTCCACTCTGGTAATACAGTAAGTTCCAATAGACATAACATGATGAAGAAATATTTCAAACAGACAGTTCCACTTATTTGTGTTATTAAACATGAATGTCTCACTATGTTATTATTCCTGACTCAACATGATCAAATTAACTAAAACTTCTCGAATTCATCCTTATATAAGTCATGATCACTTATTCTGATTGTCTCTTCATCAAATGGGTCAAAATTACTAGTATCTGCTACAGATTTGATGGCCGGTTTGAATGGAGGTTCAATCTGTCGATTGTAAAGAGCCAACCAATCCGTATCCTTGAACCATCTGTGATTCTTCATATCTTGGGTTCCATTTCTCAAATTACCAAACCTCAAAGAAACAAATTCAATGAAGAATCAAGATCTAGTGATATACATGGTCCGGCAATGAAACGGTACGATTTGGGGTGCCGCTTGAAGCGCGCTACGAAGTCTTGGTGGTGAAAGAAACTGGCCTGTCAGGACAGGCATGGTGTACCATTTATTTTCAAAGAAATATTGGACGAGTGAGAAACGCGGCTACGCAGTTGGAGCCTACTATCAATACAGTTCGAACCCCTGAAAATATAGATCCGAATTTATCAAAGTTCAAGAAGGCATTTTGTTAGGCATAAAATTGCGCAACTTTCCCATGATTTAACCGACCCTGTATCTCGGTTTACGTGATCCCAATGATGAGGCTCAAATTCCAGCCTGTACATTGTTCTCTTGTATACTGAAAGACCTGATTTTATATTTTGAAAACAATTTTCTACTCAAACCGTTACAGATATTCGATATATGGGAAGGGTATAAGATATTTTGAAGAAACACTGGGACCATCAAAAATTCTGAAATATTTTACGGTAAAATGAGAGACAGATTAATATTTTTCTTGATGTCATTATGAATCATTCATTCATTCATTATAGTACCCTACAGTTTCAGTATTTTAATAATAATTAATCATTATCTACCTTCTGCTCAAGTCCAACTGCAACATATTTTTTATCAAGTCCTGCAATTCAGTGGAAAAAGTACCAGGACATTTATATCTGCAGGTGATTATCCTTTCGTACACTTTCATTGGATCACTTGAAGTGAACGGAGGATAGCCAGCGTTCATCTCAAACAGCAGAACTCCGTATGACCACCAATCTACAGCCTTTCCATAACCCTTGCTCAGTATTATCTCGGGAGCAATGTATTCGGGAGTGCCACAAAGTGTCCACGTACGACCTTTCACAATCTATATAAAAAAATCATTGTCCAATTGAGGCTTTGATCAGTGAAAGAGTTGATAATATTGTGTACTGCAAAGCTGCTTCAGATTATACTATAGTCATGGTGGAATTATAGTATGGTGTGCTACGACGCATCTTTGTATACGTCACTGCGAGTGACAATTTCTCTTAGTCTTGAGCTCACAGTTTTCAGTTCGCCCGAGTCGCCGTGGTCATTTTGGTGCGAGTATAGACTCGCAATGACGTTATGCGCAGAAAAGACGAATTCAAGATACCTGAGTAGCACACCATATTATATTTCCACCATGACTATAGTGATATTAGGTTCATTCGGGTTGCGATTTTAGAACTGTTCAAGAATCGTTCTCGAACCGCGTAGAACTAGTGCGCAGTCGTTTCGAATCCTAGGACTGTTTCAGAACGGTTCACAAATTATGCGGCAGGAGAGAACCTCTGAGAACATAATCTCTATTAAGAACTTGTGGAAAAAACAATAGTTTGGAACCTGTATCTTTAATCGAATAATATTTTGATGCTTCAAACTCTCCTTTGAGTCTATTCCCAATATCTCTGGAAACCCTCTGTGGAGGAATGATGAATATATTCCTTCATAGCATTCGTAGCTAGATTTTCAATATGTTTTGTTCCTTGTACCTACATGAATTTCGACACCCACCTGAAATGTTCAATGAATTGTGTATCTGAATATAATGGCAACGTAATCCTCCATTTTTCGGTTTATCTAACAAAAGTTCGAGAATTATAAAATATTTTCAGCAACTTCAGCAAGTCACTCCTCCACCACTGCTTCCTGAAGATAAAGATCTACTACTATCCAATGAATGTACTAACTCCATAATATTGAAAACTATATCATTATGACGCTACGCCACAACAGAAAACTAAATGAAATGAGCATGCGCCAAAAATAATCCTAGAACGGATCATGCTCGAGAGCAGGTACTGGTTCCGGATAATTTTAGGACTGTCCCAGGACGATACTGAAAAAACCCGAACGCGTAGAGTCAGTCCTAGAACAGATCCACAAAACCCGAACGCGACCGATTCTACTGCGCAAGCTCCTGACAGTTCTAGAACAGTAATTGTTCGAACCCGAATGAACCTATTGTTCATGCCGGAGAGACAGGGAGGGAGGGTATGTCGAAGACTGGAACCTTTGACACGATAATACACTACACACTGTTTTTCCACTGACCAAACCGATTTTTAACACCTCGACACGTGTTTCGCTTACTATGTTAGCATCTTCAGGGGAAGATAGTTAGCGAAACACGTGTCGAGGTGTTAAAAATCGGTTTGGTTAGTGGTAGTAGCAAGTTTCAATCTTTTCCTGAAGATGCTAACAGCGAAACACGTGTCGAGGTCTTGAAAATCGGTTTGGTTAGTGGTAAAACAGTGTGTAGTGTAGGGAGAGAGGGAGTTCAGATTCAATTGAAACCATACCTAACGGGGCAGTTTAGGTATAGTTCGAATAAAACCCGAAATAGGCGCTAGTAGCAATAATAATAATCAATATGTTGCCGGGGTAGAAACCAGGTGGGACCAATTCTCACCCCCCTCTCTCAAGACTCCCATAGGAGATGACTGTCGGCCACCTATCTTTCGACTTATACTGACAGCACAGGAAGAAATGGAGGATATGGATACGCCAAATCAGCGCGCTAGAGCCATCTCCGTTATGTAACGGCATGTTCTCCTGCTACTATTTTATTATAGTAATGGTGAGACCGTCTGATAAAACAGATTACTGTCTCTGAAGTGTCAATGTCCGAGCAGAAACGCTACTCACCCGCCGAGGCAGGCAAGATATCCTCCCACTTGACCCATAGTGGGATTCTTCTTCACCTCCTCTACCGTAGTTCGGTGTTTTTTTTAAACCGCTGCCCCCTGGAGTCCAACCCAATTGGTGAGGCATCAGGCCGTTTGTACGACCTGATGGGGCTATCCTCATCACCCCAGGTACCCATGACAACAAGATTCCTCTTGTTACGTTTGATGGGTCGCCGTCGCAAGAGGCTTTGGCCTGATTGCTACTCACGTTGACAAGAATCCTCTCGTCCCGTTGAATGAGTGATCGTTCGAGGACTTTTACACGTTCCTCTACCTCGTTAACAGAAGAGGACCCGGCTCTGGCTACGATGACTGGTAGTAGGATCGCTTGGGGCTGCCCCCTCCCTGTCGAACTAAGGCACAAGGTACACCAAAGTGCCAGTTTTCGCTGAGCAAGCCCAGCTACCCATGTCGACCGGAATCCTCCTGTCCCGATGGATGGGTGACCGTTCTTTCACACGTACCGCTACCATGACGAGAGTGGGGACCTCAAGCTTTTACCCAGAGATGTCTGGAATCACCTGGGGCTACCCCCACTCGACGCCGTGAGTGGATGGTGGGCACACGGCCAAGGCGCTAGTAGCAGTAAGATCATCTCTTAATAGTCTCTACTTCTACTACCGTGCTTTCACGTTTAGTCTTCACATAGGACATAACTCGTGAGATACCGCCGTTATTTGCTGGAAGGAAAAAATTGAGCCATGCCGCTTACAGCCGGCCAGTGATCCCTCGACGCTAATCCCCCAACTCCTACGTAGCTGCTAGTCCCGAGTGCGACCGAATACCTATGTAGTGTTTTCCAATGAAAGCATGGTATGCCAGATGTTGTAATGAGTCAGAAGTAGGATTGTTTGCAAAGAAATATTGAGGTTATCAGAAAACAATCGAGTTGAGGTTTCCAATTTTCTTTTTATAAATTGATTTCAATTTCAGATTGTTCTGTTAACGATCTAACGTAAATCTAACTACCATCCCCCAGACACGTTCCTTAGAGGGCTGATAGAGTTAATGCCACCCCCAAGTCTAAGTCGATTTTATTTCGCCATCATTTTATTCAATTTTCACCGTACCTTAGTGTGATGAGTGAAGTTTGTGGTTTTACTTATTAAAACTCGAGTATGTTGATTGAATGTCTTTATAACTCTAGAAAAATTACTGTTTATAAAAGGCAAAAAGAGATATACAGGGAGATTCATAGCTAAGTGGTGGATAAGGGAAATGAACACGAGTTGATATGGTTGATATATAGGTACATAAAAAGATTGTTGGGCCATTCATACGAAAGATGATATTATGTTGAATTGCCACGTAACTTTGATGATTGTGTGAATTTACAGTAAGTAGCTGCTGATATTTTTACCTTACAGAATCCTAGGTCAGCTATTTTCAAATACCCCTTGTGGTCAATCAAAATATTTTCCGGTTTCAAGTCTCTATAAAGGATGTCGCAATAATGGAGGAACTCTAGAGCTAGTAGTACCTGTGCTGCGTAAAATCTTGAGAGAACTTCCGTAAATCTACGCATTCTGCAAAATAAATCACTGAGTGTAAAGGCAACGAAAAGTAATCTGTGCTGGTTATGGTTAGCTCACTCCCGAAAAAATCCAACAGTTTCGAAACTTTACTTACATATTCATAGGAACCAATTGATGAATAAATCAAAAGGCGAGCTCTAGTGGCAGTGATCAAAAACATTAAAGCCAATTAAATCTGCTACGAACTTGTACTTCAGCATATTTTCTATATATAGACTGTTGAAAATGTATGTTTCATCCAAAACCACCTTTGCTCTGTTTTCAGTAGGTAAGGGTTTTCACACTGAGTATCGAAGTAAGAATCACTCTCAGAATCATTGAAATTGTATCAATCTCTTACACTCCAAATTATTGATGTCTAATGATGAGAACAGTTGAATAATCTTGCTAGACCTGATGGGCCATATCTGGCTGGAATGATCCAAATCATGATATTCAATATTAGTGGTATTTTCGATTATGAATTTCACTATTAGAAAACCTAAAAGAAAAATTCATTAGACAGTCATCAGTGATACACCTTGTGTTGAAAAATATTTGAGGAAGAGGAATATTGATATATTCGAAAACATATCGAAAATACACTTCATATAAAAATGAAAAATTGTTCTTGCAAAACAGAAAAAATCAATTTTGTACATAGCTATTTTTCAGATTTAACCAAAACTATTGGATTTTTTCGAAGGTGAAACCGTTTGATTACTGAACTATATTCCCCATTAGATAAATTTGAGTTATTACTCAGTCCATAATATGAATACCTATTTTATTCACCTTCTTAAATGAGTGAACATCTCGCCTCCATTAATAAACGGCATAACAAAATAAATGTAACTATTATCCTTGAACGCGAAATCCAGGGAAATAATAAAAGGAAAACGAATTGACTCCGATATCTTCTTTTCATACAACGTATGTTCGATCTGTTTCAGTTTCATTATTCTCAACTTCTCTATACATTTCATGGCATAATAGGCATCTTTGGAATTCTCCTTATGTTTTACTAGAATCTAAAAGTAGAGAAAGCTGTACATTCAAATTAGGACTTCTTTATAATGTGCAAAAATAAAGTACAAGTTGTGAAACTGAAAAAATGAATGCCATGAAAAAATTCCTATCATATAACTGTTTACAAGATATTTTTCTTCACGAAAACAATCTCACAAAACTAATAAAAAAATCCTCCTAGCCTGCCACTGAAAAGTTGGGAGTACCTATTTTTTCAATGTGATTATTCAACAATATTTCGCTGAGATAATCTCACCAACACTATACAAACAGCAAAGTGAAAAGTATAGACAAGGGGACAATGTTTTTAGAATAACCTAATAAATATCTCGAAAATGGTGTAGGTAATATCTACACAAATGGAATTTTTTCATAGCAGGTGACGAACCCTCTGAACTACATTCTGGTTGAGTTTGACATGGTATTTACGTGACACCGTGTATACAGGATTCAGATATCAGAAGATGGAGGTAGGTAACAAAAATAAACCAGAGATGAACAATTGTTATCCAGCTGTTTTCTTTTTTCTTCAATTTATACATTGAGCGACAAAAAGTATGGTTGATTTTGGTATTAATTCCTTATAAAAATGAACTCTCAGTAATTGTGGGATGTAATTTCAACGTAATCTGACGAAAATTTGGATTTATTTTTCACATACTAAAACAGCGCCGTTTTAAAGAGCTACAGGGGGAAATATAATTTGCTGACCAAAATTATTAAAGTATGCTGACCAAGCATTTCTAGTTCGAATTTTTCCTTCAAATTGCATATTTGAATATTCTATATGAATATATAGATGCCACTAGTAAAATAATTCCGATCCACCCCTTCAGAGGGGTAGTTTATTCTTGCAGTTTTTCAAAAATCCTTGCTGATCGAGCATTTCTGGTTCGTATTTTTCCATCAAATTACATATTTGAATAACTCATATAGATTAAATTTATAGATGCCACCAGTGAAATTATTTTGATGCACCCTTTCAGAGCGGTAGTATATTCTTGCAGTTTTTCAAAAATCCTTGCTGAGCGAGCATTTCTGGTTCGTATTTTTCCATCAAATCACATATTCGATAATTTCATATAGATATATAGATGCTACCAGTGAAATTATTTCGATCCACTCCTTCAGAGGGGTAGTTAATTCTTGCTGTTTCTCGGAAATCCTTGCTGTTTTTCGGAAATCCTTGCTGACCGAGCAATACTGGTTCGTATTTTCCGAGATTCTTAGGCTAGACCGTATCTAGGTATATTCATTAGTTTTCACAACTTATCCGACAAATTTTGAATACAAAAACAGTATTGCATGTTACATAAGAAATCGATTACACAAAAAAACTGCGAAGAGACAAAAAATGTAAAGTTCAAAATGAATCGAGAAGACCAATCGAACCGTGTGAATAAAAATGTGGGTTTCTATTTGAAATAAGAAAGTTGGTGTCGACTTTTTGCACACCCTTGTATAACTGAAGGACTGAAAATGTTTCAGGTAGATTGGAATTGTTCGATTATAACAGCATGTAAATCATCCTGTATTATTCCCACTTGACTCAGTATGTACGGATTCGACATTTATATTAAAAAAGTTGAGTATATATTTTCTGGTTAAACCGGAAGTACATTATTAACAAATAGGTACAATCACATCAGATGCATCTTGTGTCATTGTACTTGACTGCAGTTTCATAAATTTTGTCTTTTTGGTTTCAAATATATTCACTTGGTTTCATACTGTATCCCAACCCTGTATGTGGTTATAAATGTTGTGAAACGCCCTGTATAAGCATTTATAATGGTGAGATAAAAACAGGCAGCAGTGTATTAGTAGGTTGAAGAAACATTGTGCGTTTAGGGCATACGTTTTTGTAAGTATCGTATCTAGTCACTGCTGAAAATTAATGACAGGGAATACCTCCTATTTTTCAAAGAATCTTTCATGGTAAGAATATTGACCAGTGAAGTTGAAGGACATTGAATAATCTTACCACTCTTCCGAAAGAACCTGTGCCCAAAGTTTTTATCTTGAGAAATTCATCAAGTCCAGAGCTTGACGATACCGATTTTCGATCCCATCGTTGGTAAAAGTCCTTTTTCAGTCTCTCCAATACTTCACTATAAGCGGATCTATTTCTATTTTTCTACATAGAGGAAAAAAAAAAGTGTATCACAGGATTTTTGAATTAGTAGTGAGAAAAGATATACACACAAAAATCATAATTATGGTTTTCATCCGAGGAAAATGCAATTTTATGCCTTGTAGGATCATATTATCCCCCAGATATGATCATTATAATATTTCACAAAGATTAATAATGATGCAATATAAAATTCATGCTGAGTACTCACTTCCCAGATAACACAAGGTCCTATATCTGTATGTGACTAATAGTTTTAAAATAAGTCGATGAATATGGGATTGAATTTTTCCACGTGTTCGGAAAAATGCCCTGTGTTTATGTTTTTTGAGAAAATGCAAATTGCTATTTCGTTTGATTATTTTATATATGTTATAGTTTCACATCAGAAAACTCACAAGCATATTTACATATACAGGGTGTTTCGTTATATGTGGGACGCACTTCAAGAGGTTATAGGGCGTCTCAAGAAAATAATAAAGTTCCTATGAACAAAAGTCGTAGAAGGCTTGCTTGCGAGATACAGGGTGTTGAAGTTGAAAATAAAAAATAATGTTCATTGAATTTCTAGATAACCTCTAAATAAAAATTTTTCCTATTCTGGTACCTCAGTTCCTGAGATTGATTGAATGGGTAGCATTATTTATAGTCAATATGACTCCCAGTGGCACCGTTAAAGGGGTATTGATGTGTGATTTTTCAGAAAAAACATGGGTGGCGATGAAACTTTTCCAATCTTATTGCTTGCCTCCCCAGCTATAATGTCCTCTGCTAGCTAGTTTTCTCTCAAACAGGTCTCTTCATGTAGTGGTCGACGGAGTTTCATCTGACTCTCTTATCATAAATGCTAGTGTTCCGCAAGGATCAATTCTAGCACCAACACTATTTCTACTCCATATCAACGATTTGTTGGAAGCAACTTCATGTCCAGTACACAGCTTCGCGGATGATAGTACCCTCCATACCGCCTTTTCTTCCAGGGCTCCGATTCCAGCCAGGCAAATCAGAAACGAATGAGGGAGAAATGTTGACAACATAAATATGGACTTGGCAATAATTCTCGAATGGGGATCCAATAACTTGGTAGATTTCAATGCAAACAAAACACAAGCATGTCTTTTCTCTAGAAAAGCCGATCTCACTGTGCCCAACATAAGCTTGCCAGGAGTGACCATACCTTTGAAGTCATCCATTTCGATGCTTGGTATTACTATCAGCAATAACCTTTCTTTGGAAAATCACGGTTTTCTGTTTCGGTCCAGGAGCTATTACACTTCCAGTAAGCTGCTTATGATCTATAAGGCACAGATCCGACCTGTCCTGGAATACTGTTCCCATATTTGGAGTGCAGCACCCAAACATACCCTGAAACTATTGGTTTCTGTCCCAAAAAGGGCAATTCGTCTCGTGGGTGATGCCTCGCTCACAAACTCACTTCTCTGGAACACCGTAGAAAAGTTGGCGATCTGGCTCTATTTTATAGATATTTTCATGGACGATGCTTCTCTGAAATACCCACAATTGTTCCCCCCTTGGCAGTCCCCATGAGATTAACCCGTCGAGTTGAGGCCTCGCACCCGTTCGTGGTCACTTTGGAGACTTGCAGAACAACTGTTTCCAAAGGCTCGTTCATCCAACGAACAGCGAGGCTCTGGAACACATTGCCAAGGGAGGTGTTCCCCGAGGCATATAACCTCCAGAAATTCAAGAAGAACACCAATTCCTACCTCATTTCCCTTGGTTCTAACGATGTTCTTTGAACATTACAGGATATCCCTTTTCGTGGGAACCAGAACATAAAAAAAAAGAAAAAAACAAACTTTGATGTAGATGCCGCGGATGTCGGATAGTCCATTCAAGACATCTGTTCAGATTACTCTATTATTATACCATGATATAGATATCATTCTGTAAGTGTTGCACTATGTTTAACTTCAACACCCTGTATCTCGCAAACGAGGCCTTCTATGAAATTTGTTTATCGGTACTTTTTCATTTTCTTGAGACGCTTTATCACCACTCGAAGTGCGTCCCACATATTACGAAACACCGTGTATGTATGTGAATGAAACAAAACCGAATAATGATGAAGCAAGCCAGTGTAGATTGTAGACTATATTCGACCGGTTGTCACACTTTTCAAATAGTGATTTCAGTCTGACGTGGAATGCCAGAAAACTATGTAGGTACTCACGGACAATGCTGACGATGATGGAACCATTGTTGTAGAAAAAGCGACACCCAGTTTGATGACTTTATCATTCTTCTCGGCATTTCTTTTTTTCTCGTGCTCCGAATCCTTATCTAACGTCTTTTCTTGTGTTAGCTGTTCCATCATTTGAACAACCATTAAAATTATAATAAGTCAGTTTGAATAGTTGAATAAAGTAGGAATTTGACTTTTGAGTAGCTTGATTGTTAAAACTGACATTAGCGAAATAATTAATTCTGTCGTTATTGTCACCCGATTTCAAATTTACCTCGTGAAATGGCTCAAATTGAATTGAAAGCGCATCAGCTTCGGAATCAGGCTGAAAAGAAAATGAGCTCCGGTGGGTTTTTCAAGACTCTTTTCAGTAATGGTGCTTGCCAGATAGAAGAGTCCATAGAGTACTATACGCGAGCTGGAAACTTATTTAAAATGGCTAAAAATTGGACCCAGGCCGGACATGCTTTTTCTGATGCTGCAGAGCTGAGTTTGCGCGGTGATAATTATACAGACGCTGCATTCAATTTTGTGGAATCTGCAAACTGTTTCAAAAAGTGTGATGTTGCCAAAGCAGTTGAGTTATACTTGAAGGCAATTGAGATATATAAAGATAAAGGTGAGCAATTCATGTTGCTAGAGGGTTTATTTTAGAAAATGAAATGAAGGGTTTGGTAAGAACTAAACTACTGAAGAAGATGAATTGCATTCAATATTTTCGTGATCATTTCACATAATTCGAACGCGGTTTCGTTGCTTATACAGAGTGACGAACAAACAGAATATTGAAACATTTCCCATACCTACTCCCAATTTGATGGATAATTTGCGTGATTTTTCCAGTAAAATTTTCACTATCCTCGAGTACCTATACAGGGTGTTCCATAATTGAATGTCAATTTTCGAGGAGACGATTCTTGGGCCCATTCTAAGAAGAAAGTTTCAGGTGAACGTATGACCTAAACGTCCTAACTTTTGAGATACAGGGTGGTAAACTTCTCAAAAATTAATATAGCCTACTACAATGAAAATTTATAATTCCAAAATACCAAATACGAATACGAAGTTCATAAACTACTGAAATTTGATCTAAAAAATAAAATCTATTTCTCTGCATTGTGATATTGTCATATTAACGATATTGCTATAACCATGTAGTGAGAATCTTTTTATTTTTTTAAGCGAGAACCGTGCATCAGATTGAAAAAATTGTAGTGACCAAAATTGCTTAGAAATGATTGGGAATTGCAGGAATGATTTCCATTTCGAGATTAATCAGTGGCGTACCATCAATGTCTGCCAAACTAGGTATGTGAAATTCCATACGAACGCCATTGGTGGCAACCAAAAAAAAAATGTGGTACACTAACTGATGCCTCTTGATACATAGTACATGTAAGCCAAATTTCATTACAATATCTGAAGTGGTACTACAGATATTAATAAAAATCTATCAATTTTTGAGAACTTTACCACCCTGTATCTCAAAAGTTGGACGTTTAGGTCATACGTTCATATGAAATTTTGTTTTTAGAATTGGCCCAAGAATCGCCTCCCCAAATATTGGCATGAAACACCCTGTATATACGCCCCGAATTTTTTTCTCATCTCTTCAAAAATTCGAAAAAAATTTGAAGAGCAACGGAACTGATGTGTATGTTTTTTGTGAGACATATGCTCCAGTTATGATATATTGAATTTGATGGATAGACTATATACCTACTTACCAAGTTCCTTCAAGTGTAATATGCGAGATTATATTCGCCAAAGAATGCTGCACTGCTCATTTATATAATCCCTGTATATTTCACCATAATCACTGTATTGCTATAACAACAATATGATTCATGCTATTAGCCCAGACATTATCAGATATTCTTAGAATATTCTATAAATATGCCAAAAGAGAATATATTCCGAATATCCACCGAATATTCCTAGAATATATATATATGTGCCTCTGGAACATGCAAGGAATGTTAAAATGTGAATATTCCAGTAATATTCCAAAATAATATACTAGGAATATTCAAAGGTGAATATTCCTAGTATATCCCATTTGGATATTCCGGTATAAAGGTTCCAGGAATATTCCCAACAGAATATTCTGTTTTGTATATTCATGGAATATTCCCATTGTTTCAATGAAAAGGTATAGTATAAACACCATTCACCATTTTATAGATGTGGGTATCAAACATTTATTATTCTATAATCTGTGGTAGAGTAGAAGTCTATCGTATCTCAAAGTGGAGTGTTTATAGTTACCAGGGATCAAAATCACAAAGTTATCTGTACAATTTTAATAGTGATCAATAACTCAATCCGATCATCGTACACGTTTCGAGCCCATATAAAAGCTCATCTTTATTATGTATGTATCATTCAACTCAATTACTAGCCTTGTGGTTGAGACGTTGCTCTGAAAGTCTAAAGTACGAAAGTCACGAGTTCAAGCCCATCTTGTTGGATCAGATTTTTTATTTATGAATATGTTTAGTGAAATAATACAGGAATATTCATCTATTCATATTCCTGTATCATCTCTGGAATATTCCAAATATTACCTGAATATTCCTAGAATATTACCTGAATATATTAATTCTTCTCCACCAGCACATTCAGGGAATATTCCATAGAAGATAGGTGTATTCCTTGCATGTTCATTAATATTCCCAATATCCAAAAAGAGTATTCTATGAATATTAATGGATTATCTGGTGCTGTCTGGGAGAAACTTACTTGTTTTTGTACCTACACCAAGGTAAGATTGTTGCGGCTGCAAAATATCATCAGATTATAGCTGAATTATTGGAAGACGACAATGACTATTATGAGGCGGTTGAACACTATGAAAAAGCCATTGATTTTTACAAAATGGAAGCAAGTTATTCTTCAGCTAACAAATGTTTGGAGAAAGTTGCTGAGTACTATGCTTTGTGGGAAAACTATGACAAGGTGAGTGTAGCTCTTAAAAGTTTGAAGACAAACATGAATTGACTTGAAGTTGAGCGATTATTTCATAAACTCTAATGGAACTCTCCTGTGATATGAGCAGAAAAAATCAGTATTTCAAGGTTTGTAATGAAGTAAAAGGTATTTAATTTGGAAAAATAAAACATTTTCACACCTCTCGTATGTGGAATGAAAATATGAAAAACATTATTCAGGATTTCGTTTTGATGTTTGCGATATCGATTAGTTTTCGTGCTGAAATCGTGAAATTCTTAGTCAATTATCCTCAACCAAAATGTGATACACTGTGTCTCCTTTATATTTTGACCCCTCCTACAGCTCCAACTATACGAGGTGGACAAAAATTTGAATATAAAAGTTGTAGGGTTCCATTTGTACTATATATTGGCACTCTTCAAACTAACATATGCGAATCGCAAAATTAGGAAAAGAGAGCAAATATTTGTTTCATGAAACACCCCATATATTTTCAACTCTAGTGAAGTTTTTCAAACAGTGAGGTGACAACCACAGTCAATTAATTAACCTGTAGAAATTCTATCTGAAATCATATTGCCACGACAAACTGTTTAGATATTAGCTAATTAGCTAATCATATGGTTGGGAAGTTCGTGGGTTATTATTCTACTTTGAATTCAGGCTATATTTTGCACCATGACGTTATCATATTGTTGAACAGTTTAGTTTGCTAATGTTTCCTCAAGTCGTTTTCGGCTGAATTCGCTACACTACTGAAATTTTTGCAACACTTTCATAATACAATCTTACTATATTTCGTATTTTTTCTCTATGTAATAAAATAACCCGGCACCGTGGCCGAGTTTGTCTATGAAATAACCCGGCACCGTGGCCGAGTTTGTCTATGCGCTGAAATTCGCTAGATAGCCGGTCACGATGCGAAGGTCCTGTCGGTTCGAATCTGGCTATCGGCTGTGCATTTTTCTTTAAAATGTGTGATTCATGGTTGTAATCCTGGTCGCATCTCGTTGCCCTGGGGGAGTTGGTCCCCATCAACTTTGAAGTAGCGATATACAAATTTACAAATAATTATTAGAGAAACCGACAGAGATGTCAAAAAACGCGCCTGTTTTGTTTTCATTCTATTGTGACCAAGTCCATCTAAATATTATATTAATAATAATAATAATCTCTTTTATTGATAGATATATGAAGAACAAAAAATACACTACAGTGGAGGAAAAAATAAGAATATCTATTAAATGGTTCTTAAACGTTACCACAAGGAAAGGCGAGGAAGTGCTTTCTTCCACTCAACCTGGTTTGAAATTATTCGTATTACCAGTTAGTATTACCAAGACGAAAATCAATTTTTATTCAATATTGTGAAAGCTAAATAAGTTGAAAGCGGCTCAAGCGAACATTTGCAAACTATACAGGGTGTAATACGTTTAAATATTCAAGTGACGTATTCCTAAGACCATTTTAAGAAAAAAAGTCTATGTAACTTGTTGAAATTCAATTTTTTCGTTTGAGTTTTGGAAATAACAAAAAATCAGTTATTTCCCCAAAATTTGATACCCGGGTTTTGGACGCATGAAATCATAATTTCCTAATAATTTTCATGTAATATCTAAAAGGCGCTGCGTACGCTGTCATTATTTATTTCAAATTGCCCTAACATTTTCGACAGTAGACTTTTGGTACTTTTCATGGAAAAACCTTGTTCCCACATTGTTTCCAAGTAAAAAAGGTACACTTTCTCAACAACGCTGGAGGTGATCGTTTTCGAGATATTTACAATTTTCTATAACGATGCATGTTACTTAGCAGACACTAAGTGAAGTTGCTGAGAACATTAAAAAACTAAACTAACTAAAAATGATTTGTTATCTGTATTTCAACACCCTTTATCTCCGAAATTACCTCCTAATTTGAGGAAAATATTATTGTTTTGAAGGCAATACTCATCTTCCAAGAGATAGCTTGTTTCGACTTGGCGAGTTCACTAATGAAGTACTGTGCCAAACAATACCTATTCAGAGCTGCTGTTTGTCTGCTTTGTGCCAATTTAGATGTAACATCAAAACTGGAAACCTATATTAATATGTACCCCGCATTCGAAGACTCCAGAGAATATCAACTGATTGTTTGCCTGATGGAGTGCATAGAAGATAACGACTTTGAAGGATTCACCAACGCCATTAGAAAATTCGACTCCGTAACCCATTTGAGTCAGTGGCACATCACCATGTTGCTTCGGGCCAAAAACCAAATCCAGGATATTCCAGATTTGAAATAGTCAACAAAATGAACTTGGAAAAGTAAAAATTCTGTGAAACCAAAATGAAATTATATTTTTTTTATTAAACTACGTTTACCTTACACTTTTGATAGTTATCATCAAACTCCCTCAACCATTCATCTTCTTCTTCGTCGGTAACAGCAACCTGCTTGATCAAATTCTTGTTCTCCTCAAACAGAACCAGCCCCATCGACACACTCGAAACAACTTCTATATTCGCCGCCCTTCAGATTTTCAACCATGTACGGCCCCTATAGCTGGCAACAGTGGTAATAGTTCCTGGTGCCCACACCGGAAGTCACGGCTATCTTCACGGAATCTCACTATTTTACTTACTTATGAATGCGAAATCAAGGCAAATTACCTTTCTTAGATGTACTTGTGATCAAAAATAGCGAAAACAACTTAGAATTTGATGTCTTTAGAAAAGAAACTAACACATTCAGATACATACCTAATGACTCCAATCACTGTTTTCAGCACAAAATGGCAAGTTTAAATTTTCTAGTACACAGATTGATTTCATTTCCTCTCAGCAAAGAAAGATTCAATGCTGAAAGAAATGTTGTTTATAAAGTGGCTGGCGTCAATGGGTATGATATCAAAATAGTAGATAAATTAATACGTAGACATAAATTTAAGTTAACACTTCGATATTCTACGACTTTTCAAGCGGATAAAAAGAACTCTAGAAGAATCCCAATCCCGTACAATCCCAAGTATACGAAGGGACTTGATAAGGTTTTCAAAGACTTAGGTTTTGAAAGCGTTTATCAGTCTGGGTCAAAATTAGGCAATTTATTAGGCAATCCGAAAGATGAAGTGGACACACTTGGAAAGTCGGGAATATACGAAATAAGTTGTAATGATTGTGATAAAACATATATAGGCCAAACCAGGCGACCCATAAAAACAAGGTTCAAAGAACACATAGCCCATTTAAAATATGGCAGGTTAGATAAATCTTGTGTAGCCGAACATATGTTCAATCACAATCATAACACACATATTACTAACCTCAAATTAGTTAAGCAAGTTAATAACATTAGAAAACTAGACGCATATGAAAGCTTAGAGATATTTAAGAATAGTAATAGAGTAATGAATAAGGATAATGGACCTATTCCATATAGCCCTCTATATAGTTTAGTAAAATAAAAATTAAGATTAACATGTGAACTCAACCATGACAAACATTAACTTGACGGTTAGTATTTTTCACAGTTGGGTAAACATATACCTAGTATATAAGCAGCACACTAGAATAGGATATTTAGTTTTAATCTTCTCCTGAAGATGTTAACATAGCGAAACACGTGTGGAGGCGTTAAAAAATCGGTTTGGTTAGTGGTAAAACAGTGTAGTGTATTATCGTGCCAAAGGTTCCAGTCTTCGATATATCATTATTTTGTAGGTAATAATCATCTTTTAAGAGATATGTAGCTTGTTTTTACTTGGCAATTTCACTAATGAAATACTGTGCCAAACAATACTTATTCAGAGCTGCCATTCGTCTGCTTTGTGCCAATTTAGATGTTACATCAAAACTGGAAACCTATATATCAATATGTACCCTGCTTTCGAAGACTCCAGACGATTTACAGGCCAGCGTAGCCTCGTGGTTAAAGCGTCAATGTTCTATCCACGTTGGATTGCCGGTAGGTGGGTTCGATTCCCACCACGACCGCAGAAATTTTTCTGATGGCCTAAACAAATGTTTAGGATCACACGTTAAAAGGTAAGACTCCCGTCATTCCTTGCTCGCACAAGTCTCTTGAAGACTTCTGAGGGTTGCTCGTAAGGCGGCGACCGAATGATGGATAAGAATAATTTTAGGACAATATCAACTGATTGTTCACCTGATGGAGTGCATAGAAGGCCAAAAACCAAATCCAGGATATTCCACTACGTTTACTTATAACTTTTGATAGTTATCATCAAATTCCTTCAACCATTCATCTTCTTCTTCGTCGGTAACAGCAACCTGCTTGATAAAATTCTTTTTCTCCTCAAATTTCAGAACAGGCCCATCGACACACTCGAAACAACTTTTATATTCGCCGTCCTTCAGACTTTTCACCATGTACGGCCCCTCCAACTCGTAACCCAACTATAATAGTTCCTGGTGCCCACCCCGGAAATCACGGCTATCTTCGCGGACTCGTGCTATCTGTTCGGCCCAGTTCATCAGCAGGGCTCCGTAGCCCTGGTGCTGGAATTTCTTCTCGTCTCCATATTGTTGTAGTTGCTGATTGTTCTAAAATTGTTGTTCTTATCCATCATTCGGTTGCCCCCTTACGAGCAACCCTCAGAAGTCTTCAAGAGACTTGTGCGAGCAAGGAATGACGGGGGTATTACCTTTTAACGTGTGATCCCAAACACTTTCTTAGGCCATCAGAAACATTTCTGCGGTCGTGGTGGGAATCGAACCCACCTATACCGGTAATCCAACGTGGATAGAACATTGAAACTCTAACCAAGAGGCTACGCTGGCCATCCTTACGGTTCCATTCCAATCCATGCAAGTGTTGAGTGGACCATTCCGACAATGGCAATTTCTCTGCACAAAAAGTTATTTTTTCCATACTGGAAACCTTCTACGTCAATTATTATGAAGATTTCGCGAAGTTAATCAATTTGCAATGGGTGCATTACATACGGCAATGTTTTTGTTGTTCATACTCAGTTTGAAATTTGACGTTGATTTGACGTTTAATAGCGCCATCTATTGGTTCGTGATTTTCGCGAATTTAGATGTTACATCACAACTGGAAACCTATATCAATATGTACCCTGCCTGCTTTTAAAGATTCCAGAGAATATCAACTGATTGTTTGCCTGATGGAGTGCATAGAAGGCCAACAAGTAAAAATTCTGTGAAACCAAAATAAAATTATATATTTTTCATTAAACTACGTTTACTTTACACTTTTGATAGTTATCATCAAATTCCCTTAACCATTCATCTTCTTCTTCGTCGGTAACAGCAACCTGCTTGATCAGATTCTTATTCTCAAATTTCAGAACAGGCCCATCGACACACTCAAAACAACTTTTATATTCGCCGTCCTTCAAACTTTTCACCATGTACGGCCCCTCCAACTCGTAACCCAACTATAATAGTTCCTGGTGCCCACCCCGGAAATCACGGCTATCTTCGCGGACTCGTGCTATCTGTTCGGCCCAGTTCATCAGCAGCCCAGCAGGGCGCCGTAGCCCTGGTGCTGGAATTTCTTCTCGTCTCCATATTGTTATAGGTGCTGATTGTTCTAAAATTGTTGTTCTTATCCATCATTCGGTTACCCCCTTACGAGCAACCCTCAGAAGCCTTCAAGAGACTTGTGCGAGCAAGGAATGACGGGGGCCTTACCTTTTAACGTGTGATCCCAAACACTTTCTTAGGCCATCAGAAAAATTTCTGCGGTCGTGGTGGGAATCTAAACCACCTACCGGTAATCCAACGTGGATAGAACATTGACGCTCTAACCACAAGGCTACGCTGGCCATCCTTACGGTTCCATTCTAATCCATGCAAGTGTTGAGTGGACCATTCCGACAATGGCAATTTCTCTGTACAAAAAGTTATTTTTTCCATACTGGAAACCTACGATTTCGCGAAGTCAACCAATTTGCAATGGGTGCATTACATACGGCAATGTTTTTGTTGTTCATACTCAGTTTGAAATTTGACGTTGATTTGACGTGTAATAGCGCCATCTATTGGTTCGTGATTTTCGTGAATTTAGATGTTACATCAAAACTGGAAACCTATATCAATATGTACCCTGCCTGCTTTTAAAGATTCCAGAGAATATCAACTGATTTTTTGCCTGATGGAGTGCATAGGAGGCCAACAAGTAAAAATTCTGTGAAACCAAAATAAAATTATATATTTTTCATTAAACTACGTTTACTTTACACTTTTGATAGTTATCATCAAATTCCTTCAACCATTCATCTTCTTCTTCGTCGGTAACAGCAACCTGCTTGATCAGATTCTTGTTCTCCTCAAATTTCAGAACAGGCCCATCGACACACTCGAAACAACTTTTATATTCGCCGTCCTTCAGACTTTTCACCATGTACGGCCCCTCCAACTCGTAACCCAACTTCCTGTAATAGTTCCTAGTGCCCACCCCGGAAATCACGGCTATCTTCGCTGATTCGTGCTCCGTCATGGCTATCTGTTCGGCCCAGTTCATCAGCAGGGCTCCGTAGCCCTGGTGCTGGAATTTCTTCTCGTCTCTGCCGCTGACTGGCACTACGCTCCCGTAGACGTGCAGTTCTCGGATGATAGAACAGCCGCCAACCAATTCGGGGCGGAATGTCGCTTCGGAACATTTTCGGAGCCTAATATGGAATCAATGAATTTTTTTTAGTCGTTCAGCTATACAGGGAGTGCCAAAAGTAGGCACCAACATTGCTATTTTATAACTTTTCTCACGCGTTACGATTGGTTCCTTGTTTATAAGTTTAGGCGATCTAATTTATGTCAACTCAACTATCATAGTTTTCGAGATATGTTGATTTTTATGAAAATAATAGTTTAGGAAAGCATTTGTATCCCGCAAACCGTTCAAAATTAGAGAACCAAATTTGTAGAACAATTAGATAGAAGTCCAGGCTAACTCCTAATGTCCCATCAATGGTCCCATTTATTTGTACCACATAGGCGCGGCAAAATTGTCAAAAGCTCAACTTTTGCATATGGCACCTACAATTTTTTTGACAGCATTTACTTTAATACAATCAATGGTGGTTTTGAAAATAAGAATTAACATGAGGGTGTCCCTGAGATAACGAATTGTTGGCATTCAATTACTCCACTGTGTCGTTAGGAACCTAAATTAATTTTTGCAATACTTCTCACGCTTTTTCAATGTTAATAATAAGTCTATGTGTTGTTCAGAATCGTTAAATTTCAGAGCTCATTTCTAACGTAAAGTCATGGCCGCCATTTGGCGATACGTCGAATAGATGGTGATATCAGTTTTTATGCTGTTTCGTTATTGGTCAAATAATCTTCCATTTCCACTCATAAAGCAAGGTTGTCTAGTCACCAGTTATAATCAAGTCATCAAAAAGATTTTTGAGTCATGTCGTTGAATAAAACATAATAGGAGGAACTTGTGAAATTATTATTCTCCATAACAAAATATCATGTGATTATTGGAGACTAGGCAACATTGTGCTGAATGCTGGAAACTGACAAGACCACGCCCACAAAACGTGCGTGGGGTTGTCACGTTCACCAATTCAAGTGTCCTCAAGTGTGAATCAATATAATTATTATTTAGTCCACTCGCCGATTGATTGATTCAATTGAGATTAAATACCTGAGTAATCCTACAAGAATGTCTTGTGCAGGATCCTCGTAACTCAAAAATGTTTCCCATCCCCCATTGGCCATGTAATCTCTCCTCACTCGCTCAATGTCGTTTGGTCTCACTTTCTCGTGAATTTCTGCAATACCAACTTCTCTAGTACGGACATCTCTGCATTTCAAACCAAGATCCTTCATTCTGTTGAGAGCCAACTCTCGAAGATTTCCATGTTCTACTCCAGAACTTGAAAAGAAAAGGGTTGTTGGAGGTTGTGATATATGTACATATATCGTTATTTTCTGGGATTGCTCATAGTTCTTACCTTACGAGAGGCATCGGTATATCTCTTTGAACTCTATAGACTCTGGTCCATGGGGGGACCAAAGCTAATATTTTTGCTATCAAATCAACTAAAACTGACGGTGGATAGCTCTTATAACGTCCTGTTTTCCAGAGCTCATACAATCCTGTTCCTCTAATAACTAGAGTTGGATAAATTTTCAGACCATCTGCTCTGAAAGCTGGATTTTCGAAAAATTCCTAAAATAATGCAGATTTTTTTTAGTTTCTTCAGCATACATAAATGTTTCTTGTGAAATTAATGAACAAAATGATTGAAAATGATATTATTATCCACTTTCACAATCCCTATTCATTTTGGAAGAAAGTTGAGATGTCTCACTATTTTTTTGTCAGACGTGTACTTGGTAAGAGACAGTAATGGCATGGCGGCACTAGTGTGCTTGGGGGGTAATCTGTCATCTATACATGACATGAAATTCAGGATACTATATGAATAAGTGGGGCAACAATGTTCTGTGTTCCAGACGATTTTAGGGACAGAAGGGCATAAAACATTCTGAGTCATTTTATTGATATCAATTATTATTTAACTTTCGCTAAATTAATTTCGTTCATGAGTTTTGTACAAATATATGGACGATGTATTAGACAACTCATCTGAAAATGGGTTTTTTCTACAAACGTCAAAGAGTGACAAGGTTCGCGCATTGATAACAATATGTGAAGTGATCCTTATTTTAATTTTTCTAGGTTACCACGACACCGTGTGCGAAATACATATTTCGCGCACTGCATATAAACTATGTGAAGTTTTTGTATTTTAAACTTTATGGTCCTCAATTAAGCAAAAATCCAAGAATTCGTTTGTTTTTGAATGTTCAACAATAATTAAGGAATTTTGGGCCAGTTCAACACTATTTCTCATATTAAGCTAAGCATATTACTTATACTAGAACAATATTGTTTTGCAGAAAGTATTATTTTGTATGCAACTCGTGCGCCAAAAACTTTGGTGATTTCGACAATTTTTTTAACGAGGAGCAGCCGAGTTAAAGTAATATTGGTTGCAAGCACACGATGCCATGTTCATTTGAAGAAAGCCAAATAAAGTAGTTAGAGGTAACCCCACAATGAGAACTTTACTAGGTACATCAACATTCTATCCGTCTTTGCTCTTTATACTTTGCTCTCTTCATATCAAAATAATTATATTTATGTTTAGATGTTGATTTGCTACTGAAAGAAATGTTAATATGCTACTTAGAGAAATGACATGAACATACACTACTTATACAGGTTCTAAGGTACTTACAATGAATTGTTCAACATCTCTTTCTAAATCAACATTCGGCAAATCTGGCATCATATGAGCCACCACTTTGAAACCAGCATCTTTTGCTAAATGGAAAGTACCACAAACTGCTTTCACAGTGTGCCCTCTGTTGGTATCTAAGGCTACATCCTCATACACAGATTGAACACCTAACAAATATTTTCATTTGAAATAGATTATATAAATGTAATTTGTTTCATTCGTGTAGTTTCGCATTATTTACCGATTTCAAGCCTTGTGCATCCATACTTCAACATGTCCGACAAATGTTTCTCCAAACAATAGTCAGGCCTTGTCTCTATCGTAATACCAATACACTTTGTATTGGATCTTTCCGAATACTTCACTGCCTCCTCCACAGAACTGCTCTTATGTCCAGACAAAGCATCGTGTAAATTCCTGATGAAATAATCCCTATAATCATCTGGTAGACTCATGAACGTTCCTCCCATCACAATGAATTCCACTTTATCAACCGAGTGTCCCAACTGTTTCAACTGTTCCACACGGTGCCTTGTTTGCAGATAAGGGTCGTACCGGGCTCTGATAGCTCGCATAGATGTCGGTTCATAGCCTGTGTAGCTCTGGGTCGAGTATTCGAAATCAGAATCGGGACCACCAGGACAGTAGACGCAGATGTTTCCGGTGAAGTTGATGTGGGGGCAGCGATGGGGTTTACACATTACAGCTACGATTGCAATCTGAAGGAAACACAAATAGAGAGAAACTCAAAGTCATAAGTACAATAGTTCATATAATGAACGAAAATGGTAGATAACGAAAGAAAAACAACCAGTGCCGGATTAGCCACGTAGCAAGAGTAGCAAATGCTAAGGGCCCCGCGAATTGGGGGGCCCCGCGCTCCAACGCCTGTCCGGCCTGTCTTACTGTAAAAAAAATTGCATCAGATCTGTACAACTGTGAAGAATACTATCAGCAATAAACATAGGGACGAATCAAGCGATATACAAAGTACGACCATTTCAGCGGCTCTCTACTACACTCGACGACTTTGTTGAAAATCAAACACCTGGGCAACGTTTTGAAGTTCAGGTATTTATTTCCATTATTGATAACTAGAGTTCCTAAATGTACTTGACACTGCTGATTTTGACGTTTTTTGTATATCAGAGTACGGACACTATGACAAGCACTGACAATCAGACATAACCACAAATAAATTGATGGAAAAAGCGGGAACTGACAGTACACGGACGTACATGACATAAATTTCAAAGGTTTGACAAATTGAGAGAGTTAGGAGAAAGATGCAAGTTTGTGCAGTTTCCAACTGTGAGAACACGGGAAATCAATTCACTCTATTCGAATTTCCATCGGATAACGTAATTCTACAAAAATGGAAACAGAATATGATGCAGCCGGCATGGAATATAGGTTCAGGCCACAAAATTTGCGAGGTATTTAAATTTCTTGGTAGGAAGTTGAAGAATAGGATCGTATTGAGAGAAAGAGCCGAACCCACAATTTATAAACTGAGCGAGTATCGAAAAGAACCTTATTCCAATTTAGACTCTGGTTTTGCTCGTGATGGAATGATGGAGCAGAGATCACAATATATAGCCACTATGGAGATCATGGTCGATAATCTGATGATGAAATAGCAGCAACTTCTTGAATTTACTGACAAACTGATTTCACATCCCTGTTCAACCAAGAATTCTTTGGATCATCTTCGTATACGAACTCTTATAATAATTTTGTGAAAACATATAGTCACTTTGTGGAACTCTGATGTACCAGATATTGATGTATCAAACTGTTGAATATATTGTTTGTGTATCACTTCTTCAAAGTTGAAATCCCAAGTCTGAATGTGCATGTTCGTGCGTGCTAGAGGACTACATAGTTCCTATATAATGGATTTTGAACCACTTCTTGGGTACCAAGATACGAGCAAGATATTATCAGAGAACTGAAAAAGAACGCTCAACAAGTGCACCATTTATGTTAGGTATTGAAAATGATTTTCCGATGGCCGGGTTCAACCAACAATCCCCTTTAGCAATGTGAACGGCGATCTATAGTGAGTCGAGCGCTGAAGTCCATTTATACCTACTTCTGTATGTCTTGGAGAACCTTTATTATTTATCCTAACTGAAATCAGCTGTTATTGTTGCCATATCATTTGTTTATTTATTAATTACTTATTACCTACCACTCTTGTACAAGTGAAATTGTTCCACACGAAATAAAAGTATGTTTCTTGAAATTTATCAATTTTCACCCCATTCTGAACTTTTGTGATAAACAAATATTCAACTGAACGAATATATATACCTACATATAAGAGACTAATTTCATAGGAATACTATATGTATTTCGTTGATATATATTATGTACCTACTAACTTGATATCGACCTCCATTGAGCCTTATCATTCAATATTTCGAGAAGACATAATTTTCTAATCAATTTATCGTACCCTTTTACCCACTCGAGGAGACGCTATGCACTCTCATACAAAAATCAAAGACAGAGAAAGATATATGGATGTACTCTTCCCAGGACTTGTGGAGGAAGGAAGATGCAAGGATCCTTTATCTAAGCGAAAAACATATTCTTGTCCTTGTCTGGCAAAACATATGATTTACTTCAAAATCGTTTGTGGTTATGTTCGATTGTCACTGCTTGTCTAGTGTCCGTACTCTAATATACAAAAAACGTCGAAACAGCAGTGTCAAGTACATTTAGGAACTCTATAGATAACGTACTGTCTGCTTCAACTAAACGTTTGAAAGCATTTCATAAAATTACTAGTGTTTTTAAAGTATTTTGACAGCGAAAGAGATTGTGGAAAAATCTTCAATAATGGTCAGTGCTAACACAGATGATTTGGAAACTAGCCTAGGCGACGAATAAATGTAGATCGTTGCGCTGCTCAAAACGAATGTGGGTACTGTCATTCAGAGCACCAAACAGGCGCCTCTGGAACTACAATTTTATAAACTCTCATTGAATAATTCTTTAGAATCATGTTTCCCAAACATAGAAACTGCCTAGCGAATTTACGTGTATCTCATGATCGCTAATTATTATAGTGGCGAACGGTTTTTTTTAGTATAAAAACGTATTAAAAATTAGTTAAGGAACACGATGGGCCAAGAACGTCTCAATCATCTCACTTTGATAAATATAGAGCATGATTTGCTTGAAGAAGTCGATATTTTTCTGGCTATATGCCACGCAGAATATTGGATTACATTTGATTACATTCTCCCGAAATCTATGCAATAATTCGTATTGACGAATACAATCGCGAGTTTTTCTTTCCTATGCAGGGCTGTCTCAGCTAGCTTCTTGACCGCGAACCTGATACAACGTAAACGCATCTCAGCATTTATACCCCACGAGGCGTTCAACGTCCGCGAAATGAAACGCGAACGCCGAACGCCACCAACAGGAAAGGAGAGAAACACTCCAAACCAAGAAATGGGAGTGGCTGGTTGCCCGACTGGCGTATTTTCAACTAGGAAAGAGCCAAATACTCAAAGTGGAATGCAACGGTCACATCACTAGGAAACACTTGCGATTTCATTCATCTATACGAATCATTGCATAGATTTCGGGAGGATGTAATCCTATGTTCTGCGTGGCATATAGCCAGGAAAGGAGTTGTTTTTCTCCCGTTATCTACCATTTTCGTTGATTTCATGAACTATTGTGGTAATGACTTCGAGTTTCTCTCTATTTACCATTTTGCATTCCACTTTGAGTATTTGGCTTTTTCCTAGTTAAAGAAAACAGTTTGGGTTGCATATGTTATGAATTGAAAATACCAGGCCTCAGGAATAAATGTCCATGATAGGACACTTTTGACAATGGGCCTTTCCAGTATCGTAAAAATTGACCCCATTTCGCTATAATGTTATGAATAGGAGTCAAAAACGTTATCCCTACCACATATTTATCGAAAATACCGAACAACAAATGAATTGTTTGATATTGAGAATGCAATTTCAATACCCATGAATTCGAACGCTACTGAGCTGTGACGTCAGTGTCTTCTTGCAATTTGATTCGATGGAGTTGTGGCGGCTGGGAAGCCTGCCGGTGTTGCCAGGTCTCTATAAAATCCTTGAATTGATCCTATGTGCAAGATGGTGTGCAAGGAATGTCATGATTCTAAATTACTATGTAGTAGGTGATTAGTTGATGAGTAATTCAGTGCTGATCACATTCAATTTACTCTGAACTAAGAAGTTGTCCATTAGTTTCAGGATTAGCTAGGATAATATGTGATGCAGGCATCTAACAATAAGACGCTTTTTATATATATAGTTTGTTTTTTGTTATGATGTTGATACTTCGTTGACTAATTGTTATAATCAACAAATTAAACAGTGTTACTATATCTCAAGTACTCATTCCCGAAAAATGTACCTGCTTATCTGGCAACTATGTCTACAAAAAAGAAAGAGATGAAGCAACTGGCGCTTACACAATATTGCCAAGTTAAAAATATCTCATGCCCCGCATAACTTCACTGTTCTCATTTCTCAATATTATTGACAAGAAGGAAGTGATGCTTGTACTTAAATGAAACCAATTAAGTATTTTAGTATTGATTGATTCAGAATTTCTTTCTTTCTCTATGGTAGGTAGGTATAGGTATAGGAAGGTACATAATAGGTGAGTACCTAAACTTGAAATTTACTGGGAACTGAATGTTATGAATATCTGCACTCTAATTCAATACAAAATGAAATGGATAGTTTGAATAAAAATGAATTTATCTACTACTCTATGAGAATCCTCAATTTAACGAACACACATTATAGAAACCCTATGTATAATATATTCTTGAATTCTGCTTTTCATGAAGATTTCAAAAATTGAATAGTTTATAGGGTATTCCATTTTAAAAAATCGTCTCGGTCGTTGTCACTCAAACGTGGATTACCCTGTATATTCAATGTTCCTTTACAAATGTGACAAATTGAAAATTAAAATCGACCTGTTTCAGGAGATTCCTCAGAAATGGATAGTTTGGCTGACAATGAATTTATTCAGTACTTTACAAAAGCACTGTATGATATCAAACCTTGTCCGGCGTTTCTCAGTTATGTACTTTAGTGAATTTCAATAACTATTTCAAAAATTTACAGAGCTATGAGGAGAAAACGGTTTGCGTCAGTGAACAATTTTGGGTAACTACTTCAAAATGATAAAATAAAATTTTTCTCTAAAACATGCCCATACAATTGTGAAGAGAAGTCACATTCCATGATCAAGTTATTTTATACAAATGTTCCCCACTTTGAACAGCACCAACCTTTCAAGGTATGGTCCACCTCAAGATGTTCCAGTATTATCTACTTATTGGACAGATCCACCTATTAAACTTCTGATTTTCTCCCTGAAGAGCTGATCTATAATACTTGGGGTCTAGCGGGAATGATAACAAAGATATGGTGTTAAAAATCGAGATTTTTCAACTTTAAGAATTTTTTGTGTCGAAACTATTCATGATTGGTCAAAACGGTTTTTATGTCCCTATCTCAACTTTTCACGTACTATCAATTGATATTCAATTGAAATAGATACAGGGTGGTCAAAAATCTTAATTCTGAACCACCCTGTATTTATTTCAATTGAATATCAATTGATAGTGAATAAAATGTTGGGATAGGGACATGAAAACCGTTTTGACCAATTATGAATAGTTTCAACACAAAAAACTCCTGAAGTTGAAAAATCTCGATGTTTCACATCTCATAACTCTGTAATTATTGCTGCTACACCTCAAGTGTTTATAGGTCAATGAAATCAGCTCTTCAGGAAGAATCTGAAAATGGAATAATATACAGGGTGTCCCATTTGAAAAATCAAAGTTGTTGCTACTTTTCAATATAAGTGGCAACGTCGCAACGCTAAGAATATTTTAGGTCGATTGAACACAACTAATTATTCAAGGCAACAACTTTTCAGATTTTCAGAATAATCCTGAGTTGCATTGTCCAGAAAGGTCTAATGTGCCATCCACCGTGAATCAACCCGTATATTCAAATTATGTACCTATAAAATTGATATCAACAGAGCAACCAAATTCGAATTATCAAAAGTTCTGAACACGTCTATGTCATCGCAAATTTCCACATGATGGGTATTATGTCCTGCCTGTAAAAAAAATAGTAGCTCTCATCGGCTGGTCTCGCAACTTGCGGACAGTGTTGCCAACTCAAAAGTCGCAAAATGGCCACCTGAAAAAAACACCAAAAAACTACCAAACCTGACGGAATCGAGAAAAAATGCACGGCAGGCAAAAAGTTTTGCAAATCTAGTGATTTTCTGGTGGTTCTAACTTCAGTTTAGTTCTTTAGATACCACCAGATGATAGAAGCTGGTGAAGGGATGTTGATTTAATGATATATTATAAATAAATGTGAAAACAATTTTTTTCTAACAGAAAAAAAAAACGAACAAACTAAATGCTTGATATCATCAATGACATACTTATATATATATATATATATGTTACATATAGAACAAGAAAAATAAAAAACCAACATTTGATATCCTACAAAACAGCCAAAATGTGGACATAACCATCAGAAAGTAATTTCAATTGAAAATAGTTTTTCAAAAACTCCTGACTTAGTTTTACATTTTTAACATGAGCTTTTTTTGATGAAACAAAGGAAATTTTGGATGCAGGTCCTCAATCACCAGAATAAGATTTATTTGAAAAGTTTCACCAGAATAAACACCATCCACTAGATGTCATATTTTGTCACAAAACAAAAACTCAAACCACCAGTCCTAGTGCAACACTGCTTGGGGATATGGCTGTCCTTTTCTTACATAGTTAAATCACCAGTTTAAAATTCATATGCCCCCCCTATCCCACCCCCCGGCCTGCGGGTAAGATGTAATTAACTATAACTAATTATATCATAAATTAAAGGAATGATCTGATTCTGATTTTTGAGTAAAGGAAACTGGGCTCCTATCTTCCAAAGAATATAAGTTATATGATGGGCAGCCCAATTGGTCACTATTCAATTAATTCTCTGACAGGGAATTCAAATTTGCTCTAAGAATTCTCTATGGTGTATTCAGGTTCAGGTCTCAGGATAATCATATATATATAAATCAGATTCAAATTTAGATAAATAGAGAAATCTCACAAACCAATATTATTTAAATAAATTGTGTATCCAACAAAATATTCCTGCTGAATCAATGTTTTATTTTCCTCATCTAAGAAAAAGGGGTAAAATTCACTTCCCCCTCTCCCCAAGAAATATTGCATGAGGATTATTGTTTCAGTACCTACTGTTTAGTACTTTTCACTTCCTGTGTACAAACTCCTCTATACAACAATAAAAAACTGTTCATACATTCTCATCAGTGATATTTGATATAGAGTTTCTGTTCAAAACATTCAAAAATGAAATATTCATTACACCAATTGGAGAAATATAATCAGTTCACCTACCCAACAATAATTTCTTGGCATTTATTGAATATCATACCCACCTATAGGTATAATATAGTTGAAAATTTTATATAAAAGCATGTTGACCACTCACCCCACTTGCTGTTCGGATTGGCTTAGCTAATAATTTGGGAACAAGTATTTTCTTATAGTCTATTGGCACAGCTGCAATAATATCAACCAGGCGGGGTGAAGTTTCAAGACCATACTTTGAAGAAACTCGATGTTTCAGAGAATTCAAGTTAATATCTTTCTTTGCTTGGTGAGCTTTTATTAACTCCTGAACAACTTCAGCAACAGTGATTACTCTTCTTTCCTCCAGAGTAAGGTGATGGTATTCTGAAATAGTTGTCATACAGTATATTCTATTTCAAAAATATATTTATTCATCATAAAGAAATGAATACTTTCATCCTCCAAACCAACCAAGCAGCCTGGGACTGCTCTTCATAACTTGCTTGGAGGGCCGATGGTCATTAATCGAAAACATGGATCATCATTTTCATAATTTGAACGTGAATCTACAAAAAGCAAGTTACCATTTCTTTTTTTCCCCATGACGATCAATTATCACAATACTCGAATCTTTTCAATCAAAAATCATATGAACTTTTCGAAAACTTCAAAACATCTTTTCGTAAGTAACCTCTCTTGATCTTCTTCTATTTTTATATCTATTTTAAATGATCATCTTCTTATTTTTCTTAACCCTCTATGGCCCTGTGTGACTTCAAAGTAACACAGTACAAGAACATTTCTCAACGTCTTCTATAGGTCGCGTGCACGAAGACCGACCCTGGAGGCAAAATATTGAAACACAACCTCATTCTTCTGTGAATTATTGAAACACAACCTCATTCTTCTGTGAATTATTGAAACACAACCTCACTTTTTTGTTTGGTTACAGAGGAATCAAAAGGTTGAAATAGTTTTTCACAATATTTTGGCATACCAATCGTGTTTCTTGCGTTATTCATTAATTCAAGCATGCCTTCGCATTGTGCTGTTGTACGATGCACAAAAAATGCAGCAAGAGACTAAGGAATATGATTTTTCAGGTAAATAGTAATCTCACATAGTAAGCATTATGAAATGTTGTCATTCCTTATTAAAATTCCTTCTGCTTTCTGCCACTTCTGCAATACAAGCTAATGCTGCTAATAGATTGAAAATGTCTACAACACACACGATCGTCAGCATGTCAGACCAGTCCTACCGATTGATTGCATGAATCCAATCTTCTTGCATTATTCTAGAAATTTCAGGTATATTTCTATTAGCTGATCCTATTGCAGAAGGAATTCCGATGAGAAATCAGAGAAATAACCAAATTTCAAAAATGAAAACTATGTGAGTGGCTATAGTAGGTACTTACTTTGGAATCATAATGTACCATCCGGATTTCTTCATCTTCCACTGCAGTTTTTGTGCATTTTACAACAGCACAGTGTGATGGCATTAGCGAATTGATGAATAGCGGAAAAATACGATTCATATGCCAAAATAATTGTGGAAAACTATTTCGATCACTTGTAAACAAATATGTTTTGCCTCCAGGGTCGGTCATCTGACAGTTCTTGCACGCGACCTATATCGAATGATTGTCCATTAAAGCTCAGTGTGACTTCAGAGTAACAATCAAGAACTCGAAACAACGCCACTAAGGACATCTGTACGATAAAAGGTGAAACAAAATATAATTTCCAGTCGTTCTGCTTCAACAACATGGCTGCTCTTTGTTTATCATTGATAAACAAGTGAATTTCGAGAGTCTGAGCTGTTTTCAAGTGTACAAAAATATCTGGACACTAGATTTATATTAGCAGAATACATCTTGATGAAAGATATCACAGCATATTCAACAATAGCGTGATATTTTGTCCAAATAAGGTATGTAACTTCAAAGTCACGTTGGGCTATGAGACTGTATTCGGCGATATGCATTTTTAGGCATCACATATAGGTATCCATGATGAATGCTGCAAAATTTTATGGTAGAAATGAACATTCCAAATATCCTGAAATTTTGACGCGAATTTTGAAAAATGCTGAGGATTCAGAAGATTCACTATTGGAAGAAAGTGATGAAGAGGGAGCTACTGAAATTCCAGAGGAGGCTGATCAGAATACTGACATTGTACCAGAAGAAAATCTTTGGGATTCTGAAGATGATCTACCACTTACAGAAATATCGAATAGGCTGAATACGAAAAGCAATAAAATGATTTGGAATTCAAGCAGGACTCAAACAATAAGACCCATTCCTCCTTGGAAAGGTGAGCTGACAAATGCCCCTGAAACACCTGGAACACCACTTGAATATTTCAAGAAATTTATGGGTTCAGAACTGATGAACTACATCGTTGATGAAACAAATTTATTTGCTTGTCAACGTGATCCAAACAGACCTCTTTCACTGACTGTTGGAGAACTAGAGAAATTCATAGGAATAACTTTCATCATGTCTATATACGGCTTGCCTAGAACTAGAATGTTCTGGCAGAGTGGAACTCAAGTAGATAGAGTAATTGAAACAATGTCACGAAATCGCTGGGAGCAGATAAAAATGAATTTGCATTTCAATAATAATGATGACCTACCAAATAGCCAAGACAAACTTTTCAAGATTCGTCCGCTTATAGAAATGCTTGTTGGGCGATTCAATAAGATCCCAATGACAGAAAAGTTATGCGTGGATGAACAAATGATTCCCTTCAAGGGACGTCATCGTCTAAAACAATATATGAAAAACAAACCTAGGAAATGGGGATATAAAGCATTTGTTTTATGTGGTTCAGATGGAGTCGTTTATAATTGGGATCTGTATTGTGGAGCTGTAGAACCAGATCAGGCACACACAGATGTAGGTACCAGTGGAAATGTTGTCATCAAGTTGGCCAGAATAATCCCTAAACATAAATATCATAAAATATATTATGATAACTGGTTCAACAGCCCAAAACTTCAAGTTGAGTTATCAAAGCAGGGACTATTGAGTCTGGGTACAGTGCGTTGTAACCGTTTGGGCGGATGCATATTTTCTACTGATAAGGAGATGAAAAAACGAGGCAGAGGATCAGTAGAGGAAAAAAGAGCTACTCTTGATGGGATCGAACTTACCGCCATAAAGTGGTTTGATAACAAACCTGTCCACCTACTCTGCAGTTTTTCTGGGGTTCATCCAATGACCGAAGTGAAGAGATGGGATAATAAAAATAAAATACGGGTCGATGTAAAATGTCCCCAGGCAGTTACAATTTATAATCAGTTTATGGGTGGAGTCGATCTTGTTGATTCCCTCATAGCTCTGTACAGAACAAACATTAGGAGCAAGAAATGGTATCATAAAATATTTTTCCATTTGATGGATCTTTGTGTGGTGAACTCCTGGCTCCTTTACAGGCGTGACTGTGATGGAGGGGGTATCATAAGAAAAAATCAGTTGTCATTACTCCAATTCAAAACAGACCTAGCCAATACTTTATGCAGCAGTGGACTTCAGAACGAAAGGAAACGAGGTCGTCCAAGTTCATCCACAGTTCAACAAGATATTGAAATAAAGAAGAAAAAAGGAAAAATAGCAGTTATGCCAACACAGGATGTGAGAAAAGATCAAACCGGACACTGGCCTATATTCACAGAAAAGAGGGGCAGATGTAAATTCCCAAATTGTTCTGGAGTACCGAAGATTTTATGTGGTAAATGCAGTGTTCATCTGTGCCTAACTCCTAATTCGAATTGTTTCTATTCCTTTCACAATGGATAGAGCTGCTCGAGGATCTGCCCAATGTGACTTCTAGGTGACATACCCCCAAATGATCCAAGGGGTGATTTTTTTCGAATAAAATTGCTTATGTGAATACAATCTAGTATTATTACAATAAAAATACGTGAAATTTGGAATTCAGTATCATTTCGAAATATCGGGCGGTAGAGGGTTAAACATCTATATCTTCTTGTTTACATTGATTTTTCATTTGGTGTCAAGTTAGAGTAGTTCAATGATTCATTAGGCAGGTAAAGGATTGAAATACGTATATTAATTTCTTTGTTTTGAAATCTTAGCAGTTTTGTCGCTAAATCTAGAGTATTTAGAGTAGGTGAATGCGACATTTCAACTTGATTTGCGACGTGTCGGAATTCTAGCATTTTCAGCATAGTCATAGTGGTTTATAGAGATATTTTGATCACATGAATTGATGACGACGAATATGAATTCAATTGAAACATTCCAGACGAGACGAAGAGAATGGCAGATGAGTTTGTCTTCATCATTTGTGCCATTTCTGCTACTTCTGGATAATATTCTGTATTTTCGATATAATTTAAAAAATTGAGGTGCTTGTAATGATTTTATTTTTCCTAAATCAGTACGTATTGAAACTCATAGGAACCAATGTGACTTATAGCAATAATGTCGCAAATTGATGTTGAACTATAGAAATATGAAAGATATACTCCAAATATAAGACCGACTCGACCGAGAAATCAATGACGGTACGGCTAAATATCTAGACTGTCTGACGTCATCGATGAAACCATCCTGGATGAAATCCATGAAAACGTGTTCCGAATTACAGCACTGTATTTTTGATTTCATATTTCGGAACATAGATTTTCAGCAGTCAGTAGATCTAGTACAGTGGCTATATTCCGAATTCAACTGGTCAGTACTGTAAGTTGGTCCACTCTCTGCTGAAAATATGTGTTCCGAAATATAAAATCAAAAATTCACTACTGTAATTCGGGACACGTTTTCATGGTTTTCATCAGTAGTAGTTTCTCGTTTATCCTGAACTAGATGTTTAGCCTCCTACTTGTTATAAATTTTGGAAATTTAATATTTAACATGGAAGAGAAATCGATTCTTGTATCCTCTATAGTTTCTACGATTGTTGACGATGGCGATTCAAGCTCGAGTGATGAAGAATACTTGGACATTTTGTTGTCATAAATTTGTCATGATGCACCAGATTGAGAATTGAGATTCATGAAAATCGCAATATGCCTCAATAATGATGAATTTTAGGAGACATTCCAGGTTTATTTAGTTTATTCAGCCAATGCTGCTCCTTTCCTTACCTGATCTACTACTTCATACTCAAGATATCCATGATATTGAGAATCATTTCATTATAACAACGGAAATGAATGTTACATTCCTTCCCCTTCCCCCTCTAAAATATGACAGTTCACTGAAGCCACACTAACTTTTGATACTCAGCAATTCCAGCAGAATGTTGAGTCGAAATATTTGGAATGAATAGTATATTTGCTCACAAGCATCTGTCACATTCAGTGATTTTTTTGATTTCGGAATGGAAAATCAGTAGATTCAGTACAAAGGTGGATAGTTGAATTCGGAATATAGCCATTATAGACCCTTACGGAAAAATAACCTTGCACTGCACCTGCAAGGTCTATTAACTCATTAACTTTGAATAGCCTTGCTGCACCTGCACGGATGTCTGGGCAAAACGAATTCATATTGTTTGGGTATCTTGTCACTTCTGTCACTGATTCTACTCTGTGTGACTGTGAACTGTGAAGATTTCTGTGACATGTAATTTTCTGTTTTATAAATTTTATTTTGTCAGTGAGCAAATGGCGTCGTAAGTGGAAGTTTACGATTTTGTTTTTCCAGAATGATGACTGAATTTCGTGCTCGATCTCTGAAAGAGTAATATATTTTTTTAAGACCATTTTAAACAGTTCAAGGTTTGTTATTTGATGAGTGAATATTCTAAACGACCTCTTGCATCGACCCAATATTGAATATCTAATTATACAAGGATAAACTGCAGCATAAAGATATTAAAATGAACGAAGAAATTGAAGTTAAAGAAGAAAAGCTGGTTCCTATGTGGCCTCCAACGGACAGTGGGGTCATTCAAATGCAATCCCAACATATAGGCATTCCTGTACCAACTACTCCTCAAGGAACCCCTATGAATCAAGGTGTAGAATTTGAATTGCCATTGGAACTTCAACAACAAGGTATAAAGTATTTATTTAAGTGTTTTGATGATTTAATGTGAGATAATCATTTACCTAGGCTGGAAAAAGTTCTGGTCAAAGAGGGAAAACAGACCATATTTCTGGAATAAGCAAACTGGAGAAAGCTTATGGGAAATGCCAACAATTAAACCACAGTTTGATCCCATTACAGATCCACTTGGCATTTGTGCACCTATATCAGCTCCTCCAATTCAAATATCCCATATGGCTAACACACCTGTGCCTGTTGTTAAAAGAAGGGCTTCAGAAGAAATGGGTGGTCCTCAAGCAAAGAAGTTTGTTCTGGCAGGACCATGGGATTTAGATGTTTCAACAAATGTTATAATCTTGGAGAGAGCACCTTGTTCTTACATGCATTCCCATCCAGAAGTTGAAGCATATAGGTGTAGTCTTCTCTCAAAATTGAGGCAGAGTTATCAGGAGATATGCCATTCAAGAGAAGCTATTGATGCTCCCAAGGATTCCTTCAATAGATGGCTCATGGAGAGAAAAGTTATTGACACTGGTGAAGATTTTTCTATGTTCCTTTGAAATTCTATGATTACTATATCAATTCATAGACAAGATATTCCTATGGGAATGACTCACAAATCTCAATTGAAGAAATTAATTTCAGCATTTCTATAATCTCATTAGAGTATACAATGTCATATAAAACATATTCAGAGAATGTTATGGGAGAATTCAAGAGATAACAGATAACAGTTTCCTAATTCACATTCTCAGACTCCTTGGAGATGAATCAACATGATGAAAAAAATAATGAAAATATCAAGGAAAATATATACTCTAGGCATTGCATTATTCTAGATTGAGAATGAAAATCAAGATGCTTCAAGGAATACTCTGGGAATATTAGAAAGTATAAATATTCAGATGGAATTTGATTCCTATTTTACCTATAGACACAGTAATATCTCTTGAAAACAGGCTAGATACAATGTGTCCACTTTAAGTACTTACCACCCCTATAGAATCCTTATTATCATCCTACAGGAGAGTGATTTTTTTATTAATTGATATTTCAAAAAGTACTATTAGGAATTTATTTTCACAAAAATGATGATGAATCAGGCTCACTTGAAACATACATACACCTGTACCGATTTTTATCATAATAAAACATAGAATATTCCAAAAAACAATTATAATTTTTTTGGCGGGAAAAAATTTGAGGTTCCATCTCTGTTGACAGGTTATAAAATGTCACTTTTCATAAATTACTTCTATCCTTTTGGAATGAAAAGTGAATTTTTTTTCCCAGATATACACTGTTGATGGCTTTTGTTGTGCTAGTTCAAAAAAATAAACCAATAACACCATCTCCCAGAAAGAACTGAAAGTCCTTTTCACTTTTACCCTCCATTCCACTTTGAGGTCATTTACTAACCAACCACTAATTTCACAATTTTCTGAAATCAAATCACAGAATTAAACTGACAGATATTTGATTACTTCAAAAGAATGATGCATTGCAGGCATAATGCAGGTGTAATTCCTGTTGAAATCTTTAAATTTCACTCAATAAATTTGTGATTTTAATATAATGTCTGTAAAGGTTCTGAGCAATCAGATGCGAATATCAAAGTCCAAACAGTTTATTTCCAAGATAAGTTCGAGTTCTAAAATTTACATAAACATAATACCTTCATACAGAAAATGGGCAAATCCCACATACCTAAATCAGGGACACTTCCTCACCCAGTAATACTGAATTGGGAGATTCCCCCAGGGATTCAAAATCTCGCACACAAATCTTCGAAACGTTGATATCACAAATTTCCTTATTGATATCTCTATTTATACGTTTACCTGACAACGAGGCTTTGTTTCCCCAAATCACATTTAAAGCATGTTCCTGAATTCCTGGATTCTGTTACAACTTGCCTCCCCCAAGTTTTTATCCATGCATTTAAAACAAATGGAATCAAAACTTTATTTATGAAAACTTTTCAAATGACACAAATGAAAAATGCCTCGTTCTTTGTCCGAATCTAAAAACTGTAACACGTAAGTGACTGGTGTTTTAGTGCTTATTTTATACAAAATAAAGCTTCATGCAAGAATCAATATTTAATATCTACTGACATTGATTACAGAACTGACAGGCATTCTTTTCATGTTCATTGTCATCATACAGGGTACTACAACATCTCCCCTTTTAAGAATTCGAGATAAAACTAAAAGTGATAATATAACTAAATATTCAAGCGTACTGGAGGGCGCACAGATCTTCCACTACGAGTCGTGATAAGGGATGGAATTCTATTATCAGGACCTCTGGTAGAATCTGCGTTCAAGTTAAGCCGGGGATTATGATTTTGAACATCTTCGTCGAAGCTGAAGTCATAGTCATTTTCAAATTCACTCTTGGTACGGTTCAAGTGAACTTGGTTGCGTCGTATGGTTCGTCCGTTTTCTTTAACAATAAGATAAGAACGAGGAGAATCATGACGAGCAATAATTTGCGCAGGTTCCCAATTATCAGCACGGCTGCATTTTGTGACTACTCTCTCTCCCTCCTGGAAATCAACTGCTTTACGAGGAGCTGTTTTATCATAATATTTCTTAGATCGTAGTTGTTTCTCACACATCATTCTATGCACATCTTTTTCAGTCTTGGGTTGCAATGCATTTGCACTAACAGGTAAAGTTGTTCTGATTTGTCTGCTCATGAGGATTTGACAGGGCGATACGGTTAATCCCGTAAGAGGCATGTTACGATAATCTCTCAATAAGTCCCTGTAATCCTTTCCTACTTCTCTACTTTTCTTAAGAATCCCTTCAGCAATATGACATCCTTTTTCAGCAAGACTATTTCCTTGGTGATAATATGGACTGCAAGTTATCACTTCACTTTCGTATGCTTTAGCAAAAGATTGGAAAGCGTGAGAAAGAAATGGCATATTATCAGCATGGATGACTTTGGGAATTCCATGAGTACTGAATACATCTTTTAGCTTGTCAATTACGACATGAGCTGTTTTCTGTGCGATGGGTAATATTTCCAACCATTTTGAATATCGATCAACGACAATGAGAAAATTTTCACCAGCATACTGAAGAATGTCCACTGATACTTCTTCAAATGGAAGTTTTGGAATCTCTTGTAGTATCATCGGGGCCTTTGGTTTCAATGATTTGAATTTTTCACATATGTTACACTGAGCTACCAGATTTGATATATCATTGTACATATTGGGCCAATAATACACCTGTTTTGCTCTTGCAACAGTTTTATCACGTCCAAAATGACACTCATGTAATACTTGAAGTACTAGATTTCTCAATGATCTAGGAACAAATAATTTGTCCTCATGAAATACTAGTCCACTATCCAAGTAAAGATCATTTCTCAAAGGCCACGCCCATCTTATTAATTCTGGTAGTAATCTTCTGTGATCTGGCCATCCATTCACACACAGTGTCTTGATTTTAGATAATTCTGGATCTTTAGCTGTAGCATCGATGAATTCATTTTTTCGGTTCTCAGACATAGGCAAGTGGACAACAATTGAATGAACTAGCTCAGCTAACTCATCATCTTGTTCGATGTTTTCTTCTAGGAAGGATCGTGATAGCAAATCTGCAACATACATCTGAGATCCAGGAAGATACTCGACATCTATCTTATATGTCAATAGTTTTATTCGTATCCTTCGTAAAACACATGATCCAATCTTATGGATAGCTTTTTTCATAACAGCTACGAGTGGTTTGTGATCCGTGAATATTTTAACATGATAGCCATATACATAATTATGGAATTTGGTCAAACTGAAAAGAATAGCTCTCATTTCTTTTTCTGACTGACTATAATTTTCTTCGGCTGGTGTTAAACTGGCTGATGCAAAAGCAACTGGTCGTTTTTCTTGGAGTAGCACACATCCCATGCCATTTTTGCTGGCGTCACATTGAATTATTATTTCTTTGTTATGATCGAAATTAGCTAATACAGGGGCATTGGAGACAAGATTTTTCAATTCAGTGAAAGCATTCTGTTGCTCAGGAAGCCATTCAAAAGTTACATCATCTCTCAGCAATTTTCTGAGTGGAGACGTTATGGTTGCCATATTCGGTATGAATTGCCGGACGTAGTTGAACATTCCCATAACACTCTGTAGTTCCTTTTTTGTAGACGGTGATTTGAGATCTGTTAAGGCTTTGACACGGTCTTGATCCAGACTCATACCGTCTTTACTGAATATGAAACCAATATACTTCACCTTGGTTTGTTGAAACTGAAGTTTACTAGCATTGAAGACAATATTTCTTTCCTTTGCTCTTTTGATGACTGATTGGACAGTTCGATTATGTTCATCCAATGATTTTCCATATACAATCAGGTCGTCTTGATATGGTAACACATTTGGAATATCTCCGAAATTGGCTTCAATATATTTTTGAAATGCTTCACTTGCACATGAAATTCCAAATGGTAATCTCAAAAATTTGTATACACCATATGGTGTAGAAAAACAGCAAAGATTACTAGAATTCTCTGTAAGAGCGATTTGATGATAACCATCTTTGAGATCGAAAACACTGAAATATTCGTTGAATGCAAGTTTTTCTGATATCTCTGAAATAGTTGGTAATAAGTAGTGTTCGGTGATGACAACTTTATTGAGTTCTTGTGGATCCAAACAGAATCTCAATCCACCATTTGGTTTTTCCACGATAACTATGTGGCTGATAAAATGTTCAGAAGTTACATTGTCGACCTTTTTAATGACATTTCGCTTTTCCATGTCGGCTAGAGTTTTTTGAACTTTTGGTTTCAAGGAACTTGGAATTCTCCTAGGTGGTTCATTGATGATAGCTGCATTCTTTTGAATTCTTATTGTCATTCGTTCAGGAAAACACCCAAGACCTGTGAAAACTTCCTTATTCTCTGCTATAAACTCATCTTTAGTATCCAAATGATTCGTTGAACTTAAATCTTCTTGTATTTGATCAATTTTTTTAACCAAATTTAATTTAATGCATCCATCTAGACCTAAAAGTGGTGCTGAGTTTGCATCGACTATGACGAAGTCTAGATACTCTTCCATTTTATTTGTTTCGCACTTGAGCTTGACTACACCTACAGGTTTGATAGTAGATCCACCGAAGGCTTGTAACTGCATTTTTGTTGGCTTCATTTCACTTGAAGTTTGTCCGATTTTCATGAGAACTGATTTTGACATAACATTGACAGCTGCACCAGTATCTAGCTTGATCTCTACTTTTTTGCCTGCGATTCTGATAATGTTTTTCCATTCAGTTGGAATTGCTTTCTGAATCGAAAGAATATCATTAACACCCCCTTCAAGGTTGTCTATCAGAGTTAAACTATTTATATATATTGTATCATCATCAGCTTCAAAATTCGAATCCACAGAGGTATCGTCTAAGTTTAGTTCATGTAATGTCTTTTTTGTTCCACACACACTAGCAAAATGATTGTATTTTTGACATTTCATGCACTTTCGTCCATACGCTGGACATTGTCTAGGTAAATGC